CACACTCACACATTCACACACTCTCACACACACACACACACACACACACACACACCACACACACTCACACACACTCCACACACACACACACACACACACACACACACACACACACACACACACACACTCTCACACCACACACACACACACACACACACACACACACACACACACACACACACACTCACACATTCACACACACTCACACACCAATATATCAGCTTGCTGATGTATCAGGCCTTTCATTAAATATCAGGTACCAGCTGGTCTTGACCTTTCGCCCAGTGAATGTTACCATCTGATCGACCTGTTCTGGTCTGTAAAATGTGGCAATAAGTGTTTAATGTTCTTCTAGTTAATTTTTTATTTTAGAGCCTGTACGGTTGAGTTGTTTAATCAGCTTAAATATGTTGTTTAATTAGCATATAAATAATACGGATTGTAAATTATGCTTTGATATTAAAGAATAATAAGACACAGAAACAAAGAAATATTGGATAGTCCTATTTGCAGCTTTAAACTTTCTCTTACAAAAAAGGACAATAAATTCATGTTTTTACATTGGAAATGTAATATTAGCAGTAACTTTTACTGCTCCACAGCATCTGACCTGAAAATCATGTGAATAAATGTGTTTCTTTATTGGTTGAGCTGTTATATAGAATCAGTGCACTTTGTGGGGGAATAGATTCAGTGTTCAGAGTAAAGGTCTAAAAGTGTCCTGAAATAACCTTTGTTATGAATATCGTATCGTACCCTATCCTATCCTATCCCATCGTATCGTATCTTATTTCATTTTATTGTATCTTTTTTTATTATATCGTATCTTTTCCCAACGTATCGTATCTTGTCGTAACGTACTCTATCTCATTTCATTGTAGTGTAACGTATCTCATCGTCTCGAATCATATCTTACCCTATTTTATCCCATCGCATTGTATTGTAGCGTACCCTATCTTATCCTATCATATCTTATTCTATTGTATTGTATTGTATCGTATTGTATCGTATCGTATCGTAATGTATGAATGAATGATGGGGAATATTCCCACAGCAGCAGCATCATCGCAACCACCAGTGGCAGCAATTTACTTTATGAACAACAGTCAAAGTGAAAAGTGATGAATCCATATGAACGGGAACTTTCTCTGACTCATCAGATGACTCAGCCACTAACATAAAGCTACGACTAACATATGGATAACTCTCCCTTACATTAAGTGAGCAGATGCTCATAGCCTACAGAGATCCTGTTGACTGTTTGTGGATCATAAAGATTAAAGTGAAAAGTGCACCGACCTCCAAAATCCAACTGCTCTGCAGAAAAAAGGAGAATTTAAATGAACCCATTGTTTATTATACTAGAGTGAATGGCTGAATGTAAAGGGCCATTGTTAGAAAATATGTGCAAAGGGTTCAAGGTTTCCTTTCTTCCCTTCTTATCCAGTATAATGTTATCGCTAACAGGATATATCACACTTGAGCAATCGTGGTTTCAGTGGATGAGTGGAAGTGCAAGTCACTGCCGGGCAAAAGGAGTCGGCTATGTAGTGGATAACTGATCGGCTCAGTGTGCCGCAGAGTAAAATGAGTGTAGATGGAAGTGAGGAGCTTAACGGCCGCCAGAGAGCGGAGGAATTAAAACAAAATGAAGAATTCATGTCAGGACTTTACTTGAGTTTTGACCTGAAGAACAGTTTCTCTTGTTTTTGACTGTTACTGTGAGATAAACAATGCAATCAGATTACAGACGATGAATCAATGAGGTTATTTAGATGAGGATGGAGGAAAGATACGGATAAAAACAACGAGGTTGCAGGACAGAAAACATCAAAATATAAGTTAGATCACTACGGAGGCGTATTGCATTCACTTGAAAAAAAAAAAAAAACGAGTTTTTTTCTGAATTATCGAGATACTTCGAACTCCTGCGAGAACCTCCAACCTGCAAGTGACTCCCATGGACCGATGGTGACTGCTGCCCGCACATACACGCCCCATCTTCAACAAGAGTCAACAAACTAATGATAATACCATCTATATGACTTAAACACAGGACTATCTCCCAGTGTCTGAATCCAGATCGAAGTAAAACTTGATTGAACTAAACAAGCCGCTCATGTTTGTTTCTGTTAAATCAAGCTCTCAATGAAGGAATGAATGCGTCTATTGTTTCAAATGCTCAAAACTCAGAAAATACATTAGTCAGAAAAACAGAAGAAAAAAAATAATATTCCGAAAAACCAACCAAAAAATGATTTGTAGATATAGTTTTGCTTAACACACACATATATATTATATATGTCGCTTTTATCTGGTAACCATCTTAAAAATATGGTTGTCTTTTCAACATAGATTAGCCTAGCACGTAGCATATCTAGGAAAGGAGAAAGTGGGCCGAGGCTAACTCAACTGTAATTGGAGCACAGAGCAAAATGAGGCAGGACATTGAACATTGTAAATGTTTTAGGTTTTTTTTACATTTCGTAAACTAAAATATTTGCCTTTTCCTCTATGTTTTACCAAACATCAATGGTGGTGGCTACTAGTCTTGTGTCTCCCTAGCTGGGCTAGCTGTGGTTTCCAAATCCAAAGAAAGAAAGAGAAAGATGTTTGGATGTAAGGTTGCTGACCCATTGACAGTATATATATATAATGTATGTACTGATCTGCAGACAGTTGAACTTGGCCTGGTTCATTTATTTAAGTTCTCTTGTTGTTGTTGTTTATTTGTTGTTATTTGTTACAGTAGATTTGTGAAAAATGTATTGATTTTGATCTTACTGTATCCGTATCCTGTTTCTAATATTCAACCTGCCTCTCTGGTCTGTGATCTGATGCTGCTAATCAATAAAGCACCTTTCGATTATTGATTTGAACATTAGGAAATGGCTCCATAAAGCCTGCGATCTGATGTTCATTGTACAACAATATCCTCTGATATGTGCATCAATTGATTAGCAGCTGAATTGATTTCACCGTTTGTGTTACGGTGATGATCGAACAGTTGAGGCCTTCCTCTCTCGCTCATTGCAGAACATTTGGGCTGCGACACAGTTGGCAGCGGCACCACAAACAGGAAATGGGCCACATCTCTACGCTTCATTCTCCAGTCAGGTTAACAATTGCTCAGTGGGCAGATGAGTTGTCGTTGTATTGGTGCAAAGACGACACAAAGGGACACTGAAATATGAATTCAACCCTACGAGCCGCCACCTCCACAGAATCAGAGGTCTCGTATTGAATGAATGAGGTCAGTCAGAAGTTGTCGGCTCACAGGAAACACTGACGAGGAGGAACACGTTCTCATTTCTACCTTCATCTACTCTCAGTGGTGAATGTAATTATCCTCTTTTATATTCACTTAATATAAATAACTATTGGCTCTAAATGCGTATTGCTCTGTTGCCATGAGAGGGTCAGGCAGGAAGCGGGGGGGGGGGGTGACAGAGTAACCCTGCACTGATCAACTCAAACCGATCGCCTTAAACCGTTTAAGTTTATTAAAGATAAGAGTAGAAGTAACTCAAGTATTTAAAGTAACTTTGGGTAAATTTAGTTCATTGTACTAATTCTATTCAGTTAATTTAAGTTACACTCATAAGCTGTATTTTATTGATCACAGATTAGTTTTACTGATAGTTTTAGAAACCTTTTATACAATTCTCTGTCTGTATTATGTATTTTATGACATTTTTAACAATCATACAGACTTAATATAATAATAATCTAAACTTTAAAAATAAAGTTTATGAGCTTATGACAGTCTGTGTATTTTTATATTTACATCAAGAAGGCCTTGTGACCCCTCGTGAAGCTTTGCCAACCCTTAGTGGGGTCTCAACCCCCAGGTTGGGAACCATTATTCTCAGGTAAACAGGTTTTATTTTCAGGTGATGAAAATAAAACTAATGAAAACATAACTATTATATTCCATGTCTGATTTCTAGATCCTCCTAAATGTAACACACTGGACCTTTTATGTGACTTTAAATGCCATATTTTATATATATTTTATATTATATTCAATGTAGATTATTTCCTGTGAATATTTCGTCAGACGTAAGTTTTTCTGATATCTTTAGGAACCTTTTAATACAATTCTCTGATTATATACATAGATTATATGTGTTCAAGCAGGGCTGTAGGTTTAACAAATACTGAGGAACTGAGAAGTTCCTCCAGTTGTTAATAATAATTTATATTTAAAGGAATCTGCAACCATTTCAGTAACTGATTAAAGCAAAAATACCAACAAATCACTCGTACAAGCTGCTTAAATGTGAATCTTTGCTGGTTTTATTAGTTTTCTTTCACAGTAAACTGAGTATATTTGCATTGTGGACAATTTAAAGGACAAAGCAGCATTTTAATGCACATTTCTCTCTATTTTCTGATAATAAAGTGAGTATTATATTCTATTTCTGCCAGTAGATCCTCTTAAATGTTACACACTGGACCTTTTATGTTGCTGTTGTTTACTTTAAGATTATTTGTGTTAATAGCCTATTAATATGCTGTTCTATTGTTGACTGTGTGATAACACTTTTAATCATATGTTAAATAAAGATAAACTTCCAGGAAGTGATTTAATGCAGCATTAATTAGCTCTGTGCTCGTCACGTGCTGCAGTGCGCCTCTGATCCAATGGGAGAGCTTAATTGGAGGCGGTGACGCACGACAGTGTTTCGTCACGGCGTGATCACGTGTGCGCCTTTCTCCCCCCCCTTCTCCTCCCTCCTCTTCCTCAGTTTTATTTATTCTTCCACTATATATTTCCCCTCGTGTGCGGCGGTTTGCAGCCGGTGTGAGAGCCCGACAGGCCGGCGGCGGAGAGCAGCTCGGGACCGGAGCGCGCAGCCGGAGCGCGCAACCGGAGGGGGGAGTCGAGCCCCGCCCACTCTCCGACACGTTGCCCAGGGAGAGGCTGCACGGGCTGGATGGGACTCCTGCCTTCTGCCCGCCTCCCTCTCCTCCCCTCCCTCCCCCTTTTCCTTCCCTTCCTTCCTGCGTCCATCATCAGTCGGCTCGGTCCGTCAGCGCGTCCGCACACACTCTCCTGAACGGCCGCTGCTCGTCCTCAGCTCACCGGAGACCTACGGTTCACTTCAGCTGGTGAGTGTTCTCTCTCTCTCTCTCTCTCTCTCTCTCTGCAGCTCACCTGCACCCACTGTCTGTATTATGACCATTGTGAGGTGGAGGTGAGAGGCTGCGGCTCTGCGGGGTGTTTGCGGGTTGGATCCCGCTCTGCAGGTTAATGTGCGGTTGTGGAATAAAATGTCCTCTGCTGGTTGAAACTGTGGCAGCGTTTTGTTTTCTGTTGCATATTTAAATGTACTGTGTGTGTGTGTGTGTGTGTGTGTGTGTGTGTGTGTGTGTGTGTGTGGTGCATTTTCAGCAGACAGGTGTGTGTGTGTGTGTGTGTGCATTATAGACCCAGCAGAGTGTGTGTGTGTGTGTGTGTGTGTGTGTGTGTGTGTGTGTATGCATTATAGACCCAGCAGTGTGTGTGTGTGTGTGTGTGTGTGTGTATGCATTATAGACCCAGCAGTGTGTGTGTGTGTGTGTGTGTGTGTGTGTGTGTGTGTGTGCATGTGAACTGACAGGCGAGGGGAAACATGTGTTTGGATGTTTTTTTTCTTACATAATGTTGGACGACCTGCCCATTTGGAAGAAGCAGAGGAGGGTTATTTAATCTACTGGCCTCTGTATATTCAGTGGTTTCAGGGCGCTGTGCTGTAATGTCTCCCGGGCTCATGTACTGGTTCTACTGGGAATTTATATAAAACACACACTCAGAGCTTTAGGGTTGAACAGATACTGAGGAACGTGGGTCAGAATCCCTCCAACTGTTTGACAAACCGACAGAAAAAGTTAATAATAATTTATATTTAAAGGAATCTGCAACCATTTCAGTAACTGATTAAAGCCAAAATACCAACAAATCACTCGTACAAGCTGCTTAAATGTGAATATTTGCTGGTTTTCTATCACAGTAAACTGAATATATTTGATTTGTGGACCATTTAAAGGACAAAGCAGCATTGTAATGCACATTTCTTACAGTTTTCTGATGATAAAGTGAATATTATATTCTATTTCTGCCAGTAGATCCTCTTAAATGTTACACACTGGACCTTTTATGTTGCTGTTGTTTACTTTAAGATTATTTTGTGTCATTAAATTAATAATTATTTAATATTTGTGTTAATATTTATATGCTGTTCTATTGTTGACATTTTAATGCACATTTCTCACAGTTTTCTGATTATAATTAATGATGAAAATTATAGTTTAATGCTGTCTCTGAGCTCCAGTACTGGGACTATAATTCTGTGGGAGAAATACAAAATCCTGACATTTTATTTTATTTATTTATGATTTAGGTCTGAAACTAACATTTCATCATCTGTCAGTGTCGGAAAATAGTGAAAGATGCCGCTCAGAGTTTCCCAATGTGACGTCTTTAGATCAACAGTGTAAAAGCCCCAAATATTTTAGTTACAATTGTTAAAAAATAAGGAATTTAACTAGCTAATATTATATTTTTGCTTTATAAAAGACTTAAAAAAGATTTTATTTTATTTAACATTTTAGTAACAGCAGTAATATTTAAATATATTGTCTAAATAAGAGCAGAATGAGACTAAAACAACATGATTTGTGTGTAAAATGCAGAATTTAAACGTATTAAAAGCTCCAAAGACCCAGAAACAGACAGACTGACTATTTTAGACTAAATGTAAATTCAGTCCCGATTATATTTATGTAACTGTATAAAGTATTTCATCGTGGCTTTGAATAATGTGGCAGCAACGTCTACTTGCTTGTTGTTTAACCCTTTAAAACCACCGGTTCCCAACCCGAGGGTCCCGTCTCATTCCAGGGGTCGCCAAAGTTATGCGAGGGGGTCACAAGGGTTTTATTGTTTTTATATAATATTCATATGTACGTTTTCATTAGTGTATAATCACCTGGAAATAAGAAGAATACCTCAGAATGAGCCTTTAATATCTTCAGAGGGAGCGGGTCCCAGCCACCGTAGTTTCTCCATCACAGCCCGTCAAATACAGACGCGAGGGGTGTTCAGTTGGTTGCAATCTGCAGTTTCACCGATAGATGGCACTAAATCCTACACACTGGTCCTTGTTTAAATATACACAGTAGGTCTAAATCTCTGCATTTTGTTCATTTCTGTGAAGAAAACTAAATTAAATTGTTATTTTTGAAGTTATTGAAGATGAAAACTTTGAAGTTATTTCACAGAGTCTCTGATAAACAGCCTCCTCCTGCTTTAGAAATGTTAAAACAAACAAAGATCTGATAGAGCAATGAGACGAAAACACTCAATTTGTCCTAAAATAAAGCTTATTAAGTCTCTTTGATTGTCAAACAAACTGAATAAGCTTCTTTTCTTTTAAACCTAAACAGAATACAGACACAACTTTGTAGTAAAAGTTCACAAAAATATCAGGATGCAACATTCACAGGAAATAATCTGCTCAAAATTCATCCAAATCTCTGGTTTTACACAAACTTCCTGCAGTTATTCTGTTTATCAGCTGTTATTCTTATATATTGAATATAATATGAAATATTGTCACTTAGTTTACTGAATGATAAAAAAGTGATTTAAATAGACTACATTTCTTATTTTTCTTAAACATTCTGCTTTATTTCCCCTGAAGAAGCTTTAAGGTTGTTAAAATCATCGTTTTCCTCACAGACTGACAGTAATTTATATATTGTGTGTCAGGTTGTCTCCAACTACACAATAAAATGTAAATATTCTGGATGTCTTGTGCATCATTGTACACCAATATCCCAAATAATTCAGCTATAATAAGAATAATTCAGTCATATGATATATATATTGTCATATAATATTTGGTGTCTTTGTGAAGTTTTGGAGTTAAAATAAAGTTGTGTGTTCGTTGTGTTCGTTGTGCTGCAGGTTCGTGATGCTCTCTACTGGCTGAGCGTCTGACTCCACCATGTCGACCTCGGACTCGGATTACTCCATCGACTGGCTCGCCAGCGATGAGGATGACTACGAAAGCCCGAGGAGGTTAAGTCCTCAGCACACGGAGGAGCCGCCGCCGCCACCATCATCATCATCAACCTCCTCCTCATTAAGGGAATCTCCTACGAGCTGCTTCCACTGTGGAGCGGCCCAGAGGAGGAGGAGGGCGAGGGGTGACTGTAAAGATGGAGCCGACCCTCCAGCCGGCCTGCAGGCCCCTTCAGGCAGTCCAGTTCAGGGATTTACCTCCGTTTATACGCAGCATCGTTCAGCCAGGAAGAGAGCGCACAGCGGACTCTGTGAAAAGCCTCAAGCAGAAACTGAAAACGAACTCTTCTTCCACAAGGTGAGAGTCACACCGACACAGCGACGACAGCTTTTGATGGTTTAACCTTCAGATTTCTACAATGAATGAGCAAAAAAACGCGCCAGAGCTGCAACCATTGGCTGATTAATCCATTAGTTATCAACTAATGGATTAATCGGCAACATTTTTGTGTCATTTTTGAAGAAAAAATGTCAAAATTCTCTGATTTCAGTTTCTGAAATGTGAATATTTTCGGGTTTATGTAATCCTCTACGACAGTAAACTGAATATTTTTGGGTTGTGGACACAACAAGATGTTTGAGGACGTCACTTTGGGAAACAGTGATGAACATTTTTCACCATTTTTAACTAATGATTAATGATGATTTAATGATTTTATTGGATTTATTTGACATCTCAGATAGATACATATATAACTTATCAAACACTGCCACAAACACATACATATTCATTAAAAAAATTTCGAGAATAAACACAAAAGTTCGAAAAATAACTTATTTGAACAGTGTCCACATACTTTTGGCCATATAGTTTATTAGTTTAAGTATTGTGTCACGAATTCACAAGAAGCTCCAAATCATTAAGAATTCGTTGCAGGCAATAGTTCACAAAAGTTTCTAAAGTTTCTAAAGTTTGTCGTCACTCAGCAACTCTCAAAGTATTTTTAAGGGAGTCGGGGGATATTGTGGTTACTGAGTGAAACTGTGTGTTCACAAACATCTGCTGCTTATCTCGAGTAAGAGACCACAAACACGTCATTTGTGTTTCAGTGAGCCAACTGGAAGTCAGAGCGGGTTCTGTGTGTAGTTACAGGACGTCAGCTGAGCAGGCGGTCCTTCAGCGTGGACCACGATGCGTTGTGATTGATCGTAGATGTTTCACAGCTTTGGTACCTTTTAATACCACAGATATACCTGATGATAATAACAGTGATTATCTGGTTATCAGGGCTCCTGTCAGTGGGGGGGATATATCAGGCAGCAGGTGAACATTTGGTTCTCAGAGTTGATGTGTTAGAAGCAGGAAAAATGGGCAGCGCGAAGATCTGAGCGACTTTGACAAGGAGCCACATTGTGATGGACAACTGGGTCAGAGCATCTCCAAACCTGCAGCTCTTGTGGGGTGTTCCCGGTCTGCAGAGGTCAGTACCGATCAAAAGTGGTCCAAGGAAGGAAAAGAACCGGAGACAGACGAGCTACTGTAGCTCAAACTGCTGAAACAGTGAATGCTGGTTCTGATAGAAAGGGGTCAGAACACACAGTGGACCACACTCTGTTGGTCTGGGACCAGTCAGGGAGCCCAGTGGTCATAATGTTAGTGCTGATCCGTGTAGATTCTGCCCTGTAACCAGTATCAGGTTCTCATGTTTATAACAAACCAAACTCCATGAAAATAAGTTCAGAATTAAGCGAGTTACAGTTGATTTTGTAGCTCGCAGATGAACGTCAGATTGAGGAGTATAGCAGTAGTTGTGGTGTAAATATGTGCTGTCTTAAGTATTGGTACTCTTGATAATCTTGTGATCACATCATCCAAGACCCAGGTGTAAACGGAGCCTGAAGCACTCCATACCAGAGAGGAATCAAAAGCATTTATCATCAAAACGCGGTTTCTTCCTTCGTCTTTCAGTCTAAACAAAGTCTCTCGATACCCAGATTTTCTAGGGCGAGGACCCCCCGCTTTGGTTTCAGAACCCTATTTTTAGAGGTCTGACAAGTGTGCTCTCACATCCTCTGTCTCTCTACAGTATCCTGCTGGAGGCCCGAAGCCTCCCGCCTGCGCACTGCGTGTGTCAAAAACGTCTCCTTAGAAATCACTAACAGAGACGTGGAGGTGGAGGTTGAAGGGAAGTGGATTCACCCTGAAAGCAAACGTCAACTCCAGATGACAAACGGGGAGGCATCAAGCACCGGCCTGCTCATATCAAACAGCGTAAGCGGATCCGGCGGTGCCAGTTTTCATGGCAGTCTGGTGCCGCCGGGGTCTCATGTGTCCCTCTGACGGAGGCGACAGCTCGAGCGAGCCACGTGTGAACGCCGTTGATCGCTATCAGTTTCTCCATTAGCTCCTGTCAGCTGTTTAATGGCCGCCTGTTAGTGAGCGGCCTGCGGACATTTACCTTCAGTGTTAACACGAGACTAATGGCGTCCAACGGGGAGCGGCTGTAAATGGACAATCAGTTCAATCAATACGTGCTGAGAAACTGAAGAAACTCAGATAAGCTGTAAATCATGTGCAGCTCCCACACACACACACACACACACACACACTACTCATTAAATGAACTGAAGACTGGGTGATTATGTAACTTTCAGTTTGAGGAGAGCAATAAGCTCTGCTGTGGATGTGTAAGTGGCTATTAGAAAGCACTTTACGTACTCAGCTCGTGGTTGGTTGCATGAATGCTAACTGTTATCTGTTTTCCTCACAGTGCACGGAGCTGCAGTGCTACATCCAGCCGCTGTCGGCCATCCTGCGGGGCCTGAGATCAGGCAGGTACTCTGAACGTAAGTGTCTAATCCCGGCTTTCACTGCTTTGTTAATGGACCCGTTCTGTGCAGGTCACACTGCTAAAGATAAACACATCATGTCAGGATGGTTGACGCAGAGTGGGGTGATTATAAAGGCATTTCACTGGATGTTCTCCCGCAGCCGACCATCAGGCAGGATGTGAATATTTTTACTGCTGTTGGTGACGTCGGTCGGTCTTAACTCGCTGGTTCAGAGAGAAATATCTCCCCGGCTCCTGGATGGATCAACTCCAGATCTGATGCAGACCTTCATGACTTTGGTGCCCGATGGAGCGCGTGTGCACCGATCAGCAGGGTGTCTCACTCGTTAGCTACTTCAGCTCCAGAAAAACTTGTGTTACGATACATGATCAGGGCCCGAGCTGAGAGCCCCTATCCCACCTGCCCCGAACCCAACAGGAAAGGAAAGTCGTCCATTTTTGACCCTTTGCACACGTTGTATTTTAACGAACTCCTTCTAGAGGATTGATCGGATCAACTTCACATTCAGCCAGTATGATCTGAACACCGTCAGGGTTAACATTTGTGTTATCTGTGAGTTTCCGTCGAAGGGCGTGTCCGTGGCGTGGCGCCAAATTTCAATGTTTCACCATGAAACAGGAAGTTAACTTCAGTGTACATTGTCCAATCGGAACTAAACGCTACGTGTTTCATTAGAGTCCCGCTCTGAACACACCTACATGCCAATATTCATACTCATAGCGCCACCTACTGGCAACAGGAAGAAAGCTGACACTCTAACAGCGTGTTAAATATGAGCGTTTAATAAACCACAAAATCGATATCGTTCGCCACTGTCTTTGTTGAGTTAGAGCAATTTAAAAAAGAAGATATATTTATAGTTATTCATCATATTCAATGTCTCACCGAGATAGATATCAGTCTAAAGCCTCGAGAGCCGGAGTCAAGACGTGGTCAGCTTAGCATAGCATAGCACAAGGTAACTCAGTAACTATAAATAACACTTGGTACATTGATGTGATTCATTTAGTGATTCAAAAAACATTGTTTCCTCAGTGAGTCTGTTCATTTAGGAATAATTAAAACTGAACGTCCACAGTCAGAGACTGAGGGAGGCAGAGTGCACGCTGGCAATCACAGCGGCCACAAAAAGGATCAAAGTTCACAAGTCATTGAACATCCTTTTTAAAGTACGACTGCTTCACAGATGAAAGACTGGATCAAAGACGCTCCATTGTGCTCTCAGTTTAGGTGAGATATGAGACGTTTGCACTCCTTCCTGTACGCTGACGCTACCATGCCAAATATTCAAGAGTTGTAAATGGAGTCTGGCACCACAACTCGCCTCGAACCACAAAATGCAATATGTACCAAATAACAGATCATCAAATACTTCCTCAGTTTAATCTAACAAACTCTCTCCAATCTTCATTTTATGGATATTTTCTTATACGAAATCAAACCACTGCAGATAATGAACAACAAAAACATAAAAATATTGTTCATTGGGTCGAAGGTACACCAGACTTCACTGACAAAACCACTAATTAAATCTAGCAGATCATCGTAACTTCATTCAAAGTGAACAGAAACAGAATAAAACTCATTAAAACTGTCTCTGTTAGTGTTTCCAACAATCACCAACTCTGGTTTGGTGGAAATAAATCCTTAATTCACCGACGTAGATGATAAAAACAGCAGTTTCAGTTGGAGCAGACCGGCTATGGAAACAAACCACAGAGAGGCTGCGATACAACACAGGCAGAGGGAGAGAGACACACCATGTGACTCTGTGTCTGTATATAGAGAATAGCTGTTTGCTGCTGTTTTAATGTTTATAATCTCATACAACTGAACATTGGTTGAAAGCGCTGTAGAGAAACTAGCAAGTGGACTTTGAGTTAATTAGATTATTTAGTTTAAAATAACACATTTGGAGGTATTTGCAGCCTCGTCAGTTTCAGTTTGTGACGCGTGCGTTGTGTTCACTGCTATAAGTGATATAAGTGATCCTCTACTGGACGTTATATCTGGCGTGTGTGCAGTCAGTGTTGTGGTTCAGAGAGAGCCAGGAGGGAGGGAGGGAGGGAGGGAGCCGTGGACAGAAGTAAAGTGAGACTTTAATGATGCTTTAGTCGTGGTTTCGTGTCGTCGGAGCGTCTGATGAGCTCGGCGACGCAGCAGCAGCAGTGGCGGAGGTCATAATTGGAAACGTGGTTTAGATCCAGAGCGGTCGGGGCCACGTGCCTCCTCCTCCTCCTCCTCCTCCTCCTCACGCTCACAGCAGATCTCTCTCTTTCTCTTCTCCTGCAGGTCTCAGCAGTTTTCAGGAGAGCGTCGCAATGGACCGTATCCAGAGAATAATGGGGGTCCTTCAGAATCCAAACATGGGGTAAATACCTTTTTCTTCGAACATCTGCTCCTCAGTAAAACGAGTGCGTTTGACCTTTTTCTGTCCCCGGCAGCCTGATCAGATCAGAGGAAATAGTGGCCACATGTCAGATAAACAGCAGTTCGAGGGCTGATTGAACACAGTCGGGATTGTTTCTGAGATTAAATAGTTTTGGTACCAAGAAGACATCTTCTCACTTCTGGTTTTGCTCAGTTCCTGTTGACTTACACGCTTACAGAGCTCATGTTTCAGACACATTTATAGCATTTATATCGGCGTTTATATGCTTATCGGGCAGCAACAGCACTGAAAAGGTGGAGCTGGTTAAAAAGAATAAAAATCCATCAGTCAAACAAATATTTACCTCACAAACACTTAGAATATGTGAATGAATAAATGTGGTTCAAAGTTCATTAAGATGTTCACATGCAATTAATTAATTAATTAATTCATTCATTCATTCATTCATTTTGAATACCTGCATTCATATTTACTGATTTTATACTAATATAACTGTGATGATTAAATTAAACTATTGATTGATAATCGATCACTGTAGTAGAACACCGTTTCTCTATTTCTGGTTATTGTCATAACAAATGTAAAATCTGAATAACACTAATATCACCGTCCATATAAAGTCCCTTCATCAGTAACTGGAGGTCATTATCTAACATCAACCAACTACCCATAATGCTGCAGTCACAGAGTCACTACGGCTTTCCACCTCAGTAAAGGTGGCGGCACTAGATGGTGAAACCGATCGCCTGATTTATGTATTTATCTCACTATAATACAGTTTAGTATTTAAACCAGATAAGTTAATTTAATTTAACGTATTACATCAAACATTTTAAGTAAAACTAACTTGATTTAAGTTTAAAAAACATTATTGATTAAGTAGTAAATTTAATGATGTACTTTGTGTTTGTTTGTGAAAAACAAAAACTACTTAATCTGGAATCTTTCTGTAACAAAACTAAGTTAGTGTCACTTAAAATTATAAGTTAAAGCTTCTTCATCAAGAATCTTTTTAAACTAACAAAGTTTTGTTACTTAAAATCTTCGATTTCGCAGCTTTTAGTTCCTGTTTAGTAAAACATCTTAAACTGAGACACAGAAAACACATCTGGATTTTAATGAAGGTTGATGTGTGAACATCAGGGAGAATAAAGGGACTTATTCCATCGTATATGTCGTATTTTATTAAAAGATTTGAATGTTTTCAATAAACCCAGACACAGTATAAACTGTAACATGATTAATTATTATTGTGGAGACACAAACGTGTTTAATGAGCTGTAAATGTCACAAAGAGGTGGTTTTGTTTTTCTTCTAACATAAATAAGTGTTATTAACAGACAGATATATTCTTGCTGCACTCTGTCTGACCTCCAGTAACGTCACACACCGACAGGATGATTACACAAACGCCGTCGTCACTCTTCACGGGTTCGTTTGAGGCTTTGATGCCAGCAGACGGGTGGAGTTTGTCTGGTGGAGAAGTAACAATGAGCTCCGTGGAGTTTGTCTGACAATCGCAGGAAAAACACGTGAAGGTCGTTTAAATCACTATTCTGTGATTTACAGCCGAGCTGACTCTATCGGGCCGCACAGACGCAGCTCACCGCGTCCACTTGGCTCTCGATGGCGGCGAGAATTATTAGTGTGAGCTCCTGTGAAGGTCGACGGGACAGTTTCACTCAGAGAAATGTGGCAATTAAACTCCTAAACTATTTAATTTATCCATTAAATGTGTAAAACACCCTGTATGTGACAGGATCAAACGTATTCTAGAGCAGAAATTAATAATTAATAGTAATAAGTCATTATTCTGAGATATTAAGAGCTTTCAAACTCTTACAGGCTTCATCATTTGTTAGTTTCCTCTGTCAGCACGTGATCCCTCAGTATGATGAAGTGATGAAGACGATGAGATTTGGTTAAAAGCTCCAGAAAAAGCAAGTAAGGTGACCTTGAGAAGATTATTTTATGATTCCTTAATAATTAAACCCACAATATTGTTCTAAAGGTTCCTCAAAGAGTCCGAGTCCGAGTAAACAGGAATTGAAATAACCCTCAGAACATGTTGTTTTATATATAAATTATATATTATAAATTATAAATGAGAACATAAAGATGAAGATAGAATAAATAATCCTCGGTGCAGAAGTCTCAGCGGTTTATATAAGAGGCAGAAACTGGAGCTAATTAACGACACGTGGACCGAACGTCGCCTCGTCAGCAACTAGAACGTTTATTTAATTAAAGAAAAATGCTGGAGGTTAAAATATCGTCGCCGCAGCACAAAGACGAGTCTGTTAGTGCAGTTTGTCACTGAGTCAACTGAGTAAGAGACGTATTTTATATTTTAATAAATAACAACAATAATAGAGAACAGCTGATAAACTGTACAATGAACACAAACAGTGAACTCTAACTGCAGGAAGTTAGTGTAAAACCAGCAGTTTGGATGAATTTTGAGCAGATTATTTCCTGTTTTTCTGACATTTTTAGGAACTTTTTATTAAATCTTCTGTTTGTTTTATGTATTTATTATTTTTTAACAATCATACAGACTTAAAAAGCTTCTTTTTTTGACAAATTCAGTGTTTTCTTTTCATTTTTCTATTCGTTCTTTAGTTGTTTTAACTTATCTAAAGCAGGACGAGGCTGTTTATCAGAGACTGAAGCCTTCAAACTTTATATATTAAATCATTTAAACTTTAAAAAGAACAATTTCATTTAGTTTTCTTGAAATTAACAAAATGAGACCTCCCCGTGAAGCTTTGGCGACCCCTAGTGGACCCCGACCCTCAGGTTGGAGCACACTGAGGCCTTTAATCTCCTGTACAGCAAGAGCTTTTTCACAGTTTCTTCCTGGTTTGACACGTTCAGTGAAATTGACATGTGGGCCGTGAAATGAACATCTATAAACAGCGCGTCTGAGCGTGGGACCACACAGGCAGTGCCGTGACGCCGTAATGCCACAGCGCCGTAACGCCGGCGGTTCCCGTTTGGCAGAGCTGCAGAACGTCAACGCAGGCAGCAAAAAGCAGCAATATAAAAACTCCAGAGGCAATAAAATCCCAGATAGTTTACAGCAGCGACGTCACTGCTGGTGGAAAGTTCATTCATTTTACTGTCAGTGAGATATTTGTGAGGGATGAATGTAAATGTTCCCTTTCTGCCAATACCACATAAATATATCAGATTATTCTTTATATTGAGTTAAAACCTCCCTGTGGCCGTGGAAACCTGTTTTATTTTAATAAATGTTTTGACTTTTGGTTAAAGTAGAACAACTGTGAAATGTCAGGGATGAGAAAATCTGAATTAATTCAATTAAAATAACTTTATTTGTGTAAAAGCATCAGGACACAACCAGACAGACAATAAAACAAACATACAAAGTAAAGTTTCAAATGATTATAAAATATAATAATAATAGAGAGAGAGAGGATTGTATGAAAATAATCTGCTCAGTGTTGTTTTAAATATAATATGAAGCATATTTTGTAGATGCTTCTTACTTTATTATATTATATTCTTTTGCCTCTTTAAAATCAAGAAGTCCTTGTGACCTCACGTGAAGCTTTGGCGCCCCCTAGTGGCGACTGGGAACCGCTGCTATAAGAGAAACACACGTTACTGCGACGTATCTCAGACATTATAAAAGTAACTGAAGCCGTCAGACAAATGTAATCGAGTATAAAGTACAATGTTTACCTCTGAGGTGGAGTGGATTATAAAGTTAAATTCGTTTACAGTCGTACAGACGATAAATAATCATTAGCTGCCGCCTTAAAGCTGGGATCTATTACTGTGTGTGTGTGTGTGTGTCTGTGTGTGTGTGTGTGTGTGTGTGTGTGTGTGTGTGTTTTCTAACTCTCATGGCTGTGAGCGGTGGGCGGGGCCTCAGCGGTCCGCTCCAGGGCTTACTGCTCTATTTATAGCCTGTGAATGGAACAAGGGCCTCCCCCCCCGCTGCCACGTGTGGGCTGCAGGCTCTGTCTTGTGTGTGTGTGTGTGTGTGTGTGCCGGTCGGTCACATTTCTCATGTGGACCTGAACATGCTCTACTTGTCTTCCTCCGTACGCGTCATGTGATGCTCGTATGTGGCCGGATAGCATCACACAGACGGGGAGAGGAATGCAGATCCTCCTCCCCCCTCGGTCCACCCCCCTCCTCCCCCATCGGTCCTCCCCCGTCCTCACCCCCCCCATCCTCACAGGCCTTTTTATTTATTCAGTCTTTGTGCTATTTCATGTTGTCCACCAATCAGATAACGGCAGAGCGCCCAGTGTGTTGGCAGGGGCTTTATGGGGCTTATGTAATGGCCATTGGCGAGACATCCGTAAGCCATCTGAGCTGCAGGGCGTCTCTGACTCTGTAATCTGCAGAGTCGGGTCTGAAGGAACCAGTGACTGCACCCTGACCCGTCACACACTCCCACTGTACTCCCGATACATTGATCTGACTGCTTCAGTAGTTCTCACTTCAGACACACTCTTATGAAACTCTCTGTAGCTGTAATATAGAACATAAATCTACAGTTTATAGACATTTGAATGAGGAAATGATCCAGATTAGAGCTTTAAAATGAGCTCAGTTTAAGGTTGGAGAATAAAACGTAATAAAATAAAAATATAAATTGACTATTGAGTCATAAAAATGAAAGAATTGAACTCTCAGCTTGTTGAACATTAACAGATGTTTTTCTGCACTCTGATAATTTTCAGTAGATTTCCCCGACAACACTTTTAACTTGAGGAAGCTTCTGATTGCAGGACTTTAACTTGTAATAGAGTACTTTTACTTTGTGGTATTTGTACTTGTACTTTAAGCTGTTGGAGTTTAAATAAAATATCTCTTGTTCTCTTTCTCTCCTTTTCTAGCGGTCGCTTCCTCAGCATCATACTGAAAATAGAAGAAATGCTCCAGAGCTGGTTCCCAAACATCAAACCGACAGACGACGGCTCTCCGCCCAAGAAACAAAAGGTAACGGCGTTCAAACTCCCATCATCCCCTCATCGTCTGAGCTAAAGATCCCCTGTAGTCTCACTAAATTAGATAAAAGCTAAAATCCTCTAAAACTGCACTCTTCTGTCGGAGACGGCGTTGTGAGTGCGAGGAGAGACACGAGTCGGATTATGTAACGGAGTCCTGGAAGAGGACGGTGAAGGTCAGATAATGAGAGTAACACAGATCGTCCTGTTCCTGATGTTCTGGACACGGTGGTTAGTGTTCCTCTCAGAACTTTACCAAAAACAAATTGGGTTTTATTTTGAAAATCACGAGGGCTGCTGTTGAGACTCGTCCTGTGTGAACAGTTTGTTTGAGATTGATTTAATCAGGATTACTCAGTCTGCTTTTAGAGGGTTAAAGGTTTACTGATGAAGATGATTATAAGTTTCCTTTGTGTGTTCGTAGTTTCTGTTTCTGTAGTCAACCAGAACTTTACAGTCACTCAACCTGCCACCAAAAAGTGTTAATTTAATGAATTGTTTTATTATTTGCAGCAGATTTTTCCCAGTTGAGATCGGCTCCTTTATTTCCTTTGTGCAATGCATTGTGGGATCATCAAAAGCTTCCAGTGTTTAGAGTCTGTAATGTGGATTTAGGACATCTGAACACAAATAAACCAGTTTTCCAGTCACGGAAACAATAAACAATTAAAAAGACCAAATATTCTGGAAATAATCTGTGTTGTCCTGGGAAAATGTTACTGTACGCTGCAGAGAAATCTTCTGTGGTGAGAACAGGAAACCATAACACCGACCACCGACCTGAAATAAAAACTTTATTCTCCGGGACCGAATCTAATCAGTGACTGCAGAGGTGTCCTCACTGTTAGCAGCTGTTATTCTGTATCCTCAGTTCCTTTCCTACGAAGAGACCTCGAGGCAGCAGACGAGACATCGCTCAGGGTTCCCGCTCTTTTTAACAAATCACTTTCCGTTCAAATAAAAGTAGAATTAGTTTATTTTACAGAAAATGCATCGTCTCTTCTCGGCACGTAGAGTTAACGTCCCTGTGGATGAATTTATCAACAACAGCAACGAGGAATTGAATCTGCTCTGGAAAAAACACTCCATGTTCTCTGCTGCTCGGTTCCACTTTATCTGGTGAACCGGTGGAGATTCAAACACACAGCCAGGTTTATGCAGGCGATCTGAGTGAGGGGCTGAAATACAAACAGTTCCAGAACAACAGAGATTATCTTCAGGATATTTGGACAGTTTAATCTATTTCCAGGTGTTAACCTTGACTGGAAAACTGGTCTCTATATTTCCAGGTTTTCCAGGACCTGATTTAGTAGCTGACAACTACATAATCAACTAATCGCTGGAGCTCTGATATATTGTGTGTTTTTTGTTGTTGTTGTTGATGTTATCTTCTTGTCTCCTTCTCCTCCGCAGCATCCGAGCAGTGCCTCCTCTCCTCCTCCTCCTCCTGCTTCCTCTCTGCTCTGCTCCTCAGACGTGGAGCCGGCTGTCGCAGCCTCGTACTCCTCCACTCACCTCAAATGGCTCCACACGTCAGCCATCTGCTCCCTGAAAACTCCAGAATCAACGCTCAGCCGGCCCGCTGCCGCCGCCGCCGCCGCCTCCTCCCCCTCTGCCTCCCCTCTGCCGGCACGCTGCAGCCAGGAGGCAACCCAGGACAATGCCGTCTCCTCCAGCACCGACCGACGCACGGGGCGCCGCCTCGCCACTGAACCTCGCCTGCCCTTCAAGATCAGCTCGCCGTGTCTGGAAAGACTCCTGAAGGCGAAGGACAGCATCATCGCCCCGAGGACTGTGGGAGACGGAGGCTGGTTGTCGGATCTGGTTTGAGAGGACGCTTCACACGCGGCGAGACCTCGACGCTCCGGCGCCTCGAGGCTTCCTGACGACACTAAAAGGCCTTAAAAAAAGCATGTTTCAAAGTCTTCTGCATCTTTTTTTAAATGCAGCTGCTGAGGTTCTCCAGGACGAAGCGTAGATTGGACTGTTGAGGATCCGTTAGACGGATCTAAAGGAGGAGTCTGCAGAAGAGGATCGTTACTGAGGGAACAAAGGAGGCCGGACTCTGGACTCTGTATTTATGGATCTAAATATGAACAAACGCACATTACGTTGGGTATGGAGACTTTCCGTACCTGAACACTCGGACTGTTACCTTGTTCGATCTGCTTCTCTTTAGGTTTTTAACGATTCCTCTACCTCATGCTGAAACCACGACACAGTTCGACCACATCAGACGACTCGCGCAGCCTCGCTGACGCTGGAAACTCCATCATATTGAAATATATCAACGTATCCAGAGTCAGTCGTCTAATTAGCTTGTAATCATTCATTTAAAACAGTATGAATGTCAGTAAAGATAATTAACAGCTCCACTTTAACCAATGTGAGTTTTTTTTTAAAGGTTTCAGAGAACAAAGTGAAACACCCCAAAACCTGGGCAGCTCTCAGTTTTCAGCTACTTCCATTAACAGTAAATATATTTGGTCGCCAGCGGTGACGGTGCCTGTAATCTTTTACATTTTAACGTTGTTGTGAAACCGATCAATCGCAGGGACCCCGGAGGAAACCGCTCCAGTTTAACAGGCTGCTCTGGAAGTTAGTCTCCAGACAAAACCTCACGAGAGCGTTATTGGTCGCTGTATCGTTGCCGTGAACAGAGCCCGTCCTGCTGAGACTACCTGATGGAGGATAAAGTTCACAGTGCAAGAACTCGTGTTTCAGTTCGGCTGACGCTGATAATCTTCCTCATATTAGCTTCAGCGAGCGGAACTTTTTACAAGTCCAGTTAAAACGTGAAATAGAACAACAAGACAAACATCCTCGGACAGTGCTCAGACATGTAGAGGTTTCCCTTCATGTACATAGTTTCTCACCTTTCATTCCCTGAAAGATGGCCTTTGTGATATTTTGTACTTCTGAAATAAATGTGATGTCTGCTTTCTGAAAGGAAACATTTGTCTTTTTCTTTTGAAAACAGCGGAGACGAACAACAAATCAATTATGCAGCATTTATTGTTGTTTTTTTATGCTTTGGGAAACTCGGCATAGGCAATGAAAACAATAAATATGGATATTATGCAAAACATTTTCCTAATGAAGCATTTTACACAATGTACAATATTCCTTCTTCCCCACCACTTGCTTGAATATTCTATACACATTTCCACACAAATAAACATACCTCCATGCAGAAACCCTGAAAATGGGATGTGGAGTAATGGAAAAAGAAATGAACACTAAATGCACTTCTCGTGTGGATTTTTGTGTCGTTAAAAACTGCTAATAAACCACGAGGAGAAATGAAGATCTGTGCTGTTTTTAAAGTACATAAAATGAGTTTAAAAAGTGGCCTTTCTGCTCAGGAGTTCCCTACGACTGGTGCAGTGATGACGAAGCATCCGTGTGTGTGGCGTTCAGATAAGACGGTCCGTTCCCGGTAATTCCCGGGTCTTAATAATTTATTTAAATGTGTGCTGTGTGTGAAAGTGCCTGCAATCAGTAGTCCGTGTCGGAGCCCTCGGCGTTGTCGACATTGCGGGAGAGCATGTAGTTGTCCATGTCGATGGAGCGACAGTTGTTGATGGCGTAGCGCAGCCGCTCCGCCATGACGGCCTGGCTGGAGTACGGAGGCAGACGCAGCTGGAAGAAGCAGGTCTGGGAGGTGGGGAGGCTGTCGTACGGCTGTGGAGGAAACACAGAAACTCTCATCAGCTTCCTGGAAAACAGTTCGTCTTCACGCTGAGAGGAACCAATCAGATTGATCTTTCTGGAACTAATCAGCCATTGGTTCAGACGTCTGATGGACCTCTCACTGACCTGTTTCGCATTAAGGCCCCGACGCTGTGATTACTAAAGGGGGATTAACTGTATATTCTCCGTTAAGCCTCCTCACAAATGTGACTTACACATACAGCAGCTGAGGCAATACCACGTGAGAGCCGCTCTGTGATTGGTCGGCAGCTCAGGCTTTATGTTTCTGATGCCGGTATAAAGGGAAACCAGCTTTGTGTGGTTGCAGTGTAAATGCAAATGGACAATGATTAACTTCCCTCCATGTTGTTGTAACCCATCCATAATAATACCACCATACAGTGCATACTTCCTGTGGTTAGTAGGCGGCGCTATGACTGAGCATTGGTAGGTTAGCGGCTCCTTTTTCATGGCAAAACAGTGATTATTGAGGCAGCGCCACAAACACACCGTAAAACCATACCTCAAGATTTTGATAACTTTTAATCTTGAACTTCTTGAGAGCGTACTGACCACATTTAAAGTTTAATCCATCAGTTCTACAGGAGTCTGTGAGACCGATTCAGGCTGCTTTTCTTCCATCTAACCTCTGTAAATAAATAGAATCAATAAACTGGAATGATCCTGAAATGTTGGGACCGGCTCACTCACCCTGTCCACCTTCATGATCTGAAACCTCTGCGAGATGTCGGCCGTGTTGGCGGGCAGCCTCGAGCGTCCGGAGACGAAGCGCATGAAGAGGACTCGCTCCTCGTTGGAGAACTCCTCCAGAGTCTGCCAGAACCACTGCACCAGCGAGTGCTGCTCGTCCACCTCTCTGTAGCGCACCACCTTCTTCAGCACGTCGCAGCAGATCTCCGGCATACCGCACACCATCTGCTCCAGCTGCTTGGCCGTCAGCAGCGACAGCAGCGGCACCGGGACGATCCACGACATGCCCTCACGCACCGCCGCCACCTGGGAGGAGGAGGAGGGGGAGGAGGAGGAGACGGTTTATGTTTGACTCGTCGGTTGTTATTACAGTTACAATTATCTCGAACTATGAAGCAGGTCGGTCTTTCGATCTGCTTCATAAAATGATTGGTTCTGTGAATGGAGTCTGGTTTTATCGGTTTAAATCTTTCTGCCAGGAAGAAACTGAAGATCAGATTCAATTTGTAACCTCCGACAGTGAAATGTGATACTGTCACTACATCACTTCTGTATCTGTTCTCATCCTGAACGATAAAGAGTCACTTTAAAACTCCAGAAACAGACGTTCAGTTTACCTCTCATCAGATCTTACCTGTCGATCGATTTCATGCAGCCGGTACTCAATAGCTCGTTCCACGTACTCCTTCCTGTTGGAGAAAGTGAGCGGGATGCTGTTTCCTCCCGGGATGATGGGCACCATCTTGCCATCTGCACTCTGCCCGACAAAGGAATCCAGAGGAATCATCTGGAAAACAAACACAAAGAATAATCAGGCCAATAAATGTAACTGCTGCTGTTAGTGGACTGATTTACAGTCAGGCTCCCACTGCTAGTATCACTCTGGATGTTTTTATCAGTCAAATTCAACTGATCGATAGTTGGTGGCACAAAGAAGTGTTCAATATTCCCACAAAAATAAGGAAGAACAAGACTGGCTGAAGGAAATGAATTCAATTAAACATTGACAAACGATTATTTACAGGATATTTGGTATTTTTCATTTGAACATTTCCAGATGTTTCCATGTCTCTAAATGTTGAGATTTTCCAGGTTTTCCAGGATGTGTGGGACAGAACCAGTTAGCGAACCATGAGAGTTACATGGACTTTAAATTACATGGAGAGTTTCCAGGAACAGGTAGTGATTAGCAACCCTGCACTGATCTGAGACACTAAAAGCTTTTTCCTTTGAATGAACAGTGACGTAAGCGCTCGCTTACAAAAGCTGAAATGTATTCATGTGTTCACTGGCCTGGCAACCGGCAACAGATTATAATATCACGGTGGGACGTTTGACGGCTCGTCTGGAACTCAAACTGAAGCCAACAGAAAAGGCGGACAGATTCTTTCTCTCTCTCTCTCTCTCTCTCTCTCTCTCGTCTCTTTTCACGCCAAAGCAGCAGATGCAGCCTCTTCCTCTCCTCCCTCGTTCCTGGCTGTCGGAGCCCATCGTGGCAGTGTTGTGGCTCCAAACTCCCCCTTTCTCTCCCCTACAAGGCTGGGAGCGGGGCCAAGTCTCCGGCAGGCAGGATATGCTGCATCAACAGTGGCCCTGGCATTCCTGCAGGCGGGGGCTTTACAGTGCAGAGGTTGTGTGAGGTTGTTTGGACAGAAGAGGGGCTCCGGGGATGTGTTAGCTTTCTGCTGCTCTGTGGGGTTTTTGGGTGTGACGGGGGGGGGGCTCGACATCGACTACAGCAGCGTAGAAGAAAACAGCGGCTGTTAGTCAGAGCTGATGAGCAGCTGCTGGGTTAGCAACAGTTAGCATTACCACCTGTGAATGATGTGTCTCCATCAGCGTACGTTTGAAACTGAGTGCAGCGGGGGGAGGCGGGGGAGGGGCCGCCCTCCTCTGATTAAAGGGTGTTAACACTGTTTTTATATAGAAATGATTTAACGTAGTCGCCCCAAACTGTCCACTCCACTTTGGACTTGTGATGATTTAATACAGTCGAGGGCGTGTTGAGACGATTTCAACACACAAAATACCAGTGTTCATAAATGTGGTGCTGTAAGAAGGTTAATATTCACACCAGCGTTGATGTGCCGGCTCCTGCGAGCTCCCTGGGTGTGGCGTGGCCGCGGTATGTGACATCATTTGAAGTTTGCTTTGGTTTGTGACGGCTGGCTATGGGAATGAAAACAGGCTCACAAGGCTGCGAGCTGGCTGCTTATTATCTCTTTTTAGCGGCGCGCGTGTGATTCTGATGAATCAAACGTTCACATGGCCGAGGAGAAGTAAACACGCTGCCCACGCTGTCAAAACAGCCACATCAGCCACCCTGTGAGTCTTAAGTATTGTGCTGTTGGAGCCTGAGATTAAGCTTAAATACGGTGTAACGCGGCTCTGATCTGCAGCCAGCGAGGATGAGGACGGGCGGTGGTTCCCAATCTGATGAGGACAAATATAAATTCACTGTCCTATCTCCAGCCTGTGTGTGCACGCTGTGATATTTAATATACAGCAGATATCTGTATTATTCTGTATTGGCTGCAGCAACAAAGAACATTTATAAAGTCTTTCATACCAAATTCAATAACTTTACTCAGTTGTTAAACACACTGGAACCACATCTGTTATTATACTGTCCATGTTGTGTTATTAGTGGTTTATACTGTGATTTATAGTGTTTTAATCAGACTGTGAAGCCAAACAATAAAGCTTATTATTATTATTATTATTATGACATCAGATTAGCATTATTACAGACACCTCACAGATATTTCTTTCTATCACGCTGTAATTTCCTCTGCTCTCCTTTATGAACCTCTGTGGTCGAACTAGACTGAAACAGAAGTAACTTTTTACATTTAAACACGTGAATAAAACAATTTAAATTTAAAAACTGACTTTAGTAAAAACATGGCAGTGCACACGCCTCATTCTAAGGTAACAAAAACACAAACAATTTCCCAAATTCAGGTGATTATACACAAATAAAAATATCCCAGCGATCATCTTGAAAGTGTTTCTCCCACTGTGCAGGTGTATTATGTTATTATGTTGCACCTGAGAGACTTTTTGTTATTCTGGACTCATATAATGGATAAACTGAATTAAATTGATTAGAACACAAACAAACAAACAAATTTAATAAAGATTCCTTAAATTCGGCTGTTGTGTGGAAAGGTTTTTGTAAATCAAGTTACAGAAATAACGATGACAAATTAATTGAATTTAAATGAAAAAAATAAAATAAAAACTGCTGCCACAAACCAACCGAGTCTGTCAGCGACTGATCGTCCTGCTGTGTGCTTTCGATTATTTTTACTGTTATTGTTTGATTGTTTATCCTGTTTATTCAGTGTTCTGATGTCCTACGCTTGCTTTTATTGTTTATATTAAAAATCCGTCCCCACCTCGTGGAAGTTCTCCTCGGTGATGCCGCTGTCTTCAATGTGAAGAATGCTTTTGAGCGTCTGCACATAGAGGAGGTCCACTTCCTCCAGGTCCTCCAGCAGCAGGGGGATGCAGCACAGCTGTTTCCACACCAGCGGCGCCAGGTGCAGATCCAGGGGCTTCTTGGTGCGGATGGCCACGCCCATCAGGATGCCCAGGAACTTGAACTGGAGCATGTGCTCATCCAGGCACGCCGACGGGTTGAGGAGGAACCTGGGCGGATCAAAGGGTGACAGAAATATTGTTTCAATATGTTTTCTAATGATGAGTTTAAGATGACAGCCGGGTGAGCGGGAGACCTCGCCAGTGACGCAGCTGGAGGCTGGCGTGAGACGACGACGAGGATGAAGAGAGCTAAATTAAATGGACAGTTGTTTTCCACATGATCTTGTTGAATGGCCACCATATTTGAAAGCTCAGTTAACTGTGAATAAACCTTTCCCTTCAAAGTCTGATGTTCTAGGGTTTCAGCAGTAATATTTCATTAGTTTTGTTCTTGTCTTCTAACAAAATATGGAGCTCGTGTTTCAGGCAGATTCTGTCAGAGGTTCACTGTGAGAGAGGCTGTGAGGGAGAAAGTGACCTTTAATAAGTTACAAAGATAGAAGATGAACAGTAAGAATAATCCTGTGTATCTGTGTTTCTGTTATCAGCTCTGGAGCCAAACTATCAGCATTCATCAATATCTTCTTTAAAGAGGAATATCATATTAATGCAATATTGTTTTGACGGTGTGGATTGAGAACTGTATTTAACTCCATATAATTACAGAATTAAAGCATCATGGTTTTATTTTAACTGTTAGCTATGTAAAGATATAGTGAAGTCATGGTGTCCTGAGCAGGAAATGATGTCACACTTCCTCTGTGTTGCCTCTCTGTGGTTTGTTTATAAATCCAGTCTGGTCCCTCCGTTTGCAACTCAGCTGTTTTTATCATCTACGTCGGTGAATTAAGGATTTATTTCCCCCAAACCAGAGTTGGTGATTGTTGGAAACACTAACAGAGACGCTTTTAATGAGTTTTATCTTGTTTCTGTCCTCTCATAAAACTACTGATTTAATCAATGGACTCTGGTTGTTTTGGTCTGAGATGCACTTTGTTATGTATTATTGTTATTTGTTATTATTATTATTATTAGCTAGAAAACGATTATATTGATGTTAATTAGAGCAGTGAATGTCTCGACTCTCTGCACGCTCCGTCATCCTCACCTGTCTCTGTTGTAGCCGACCTCTGCTGTGGCGTTGGGGGAGGGGATGAGCAGGTCCACCACGCCCGTCTCCAACTCCTACAAACACATTTACAGAACAAGAAGAGATGAACATTAATGTATCAGAGGACACCCAGTGAGGTTTAACCGACACGTACAGATTGTGTGTTTGATCCTTCCAATACCTGACACATCTCTGTGATTGTATCGTCAAACACGCCCCCCGCGTCGTCGGCCCCCTCTCCCACCAGTTTGACCTTCCAGGCCCTGGAGGGCAGTCGGAGGTCTGAGGCGTTCAGCTTCACAACCTGACGAGCGATCTGTACAAAGATCGGTTTACACTTCCGTCCTCTGCACAGAAAAAGAGACAGACGAGAAAAGAACTGTTACAGAAGTTTATCCTCGAGACGCAGGTTTGTGCAAAAAACAAGTAAACTTCCAAATTTAGTGCATAAAAACAAACTTTCACTCATGTTAACAGACATCCAGCAGCCACACAGTCTGATCGTGAGTGTGCTGTTAACTTCTATACAGTGAATACGATCTTAAGAGGACTGTAGGATGACTTGATGAAGATATTCTGTTCAATGGATAATATTTCATCTTCATTACCTGACTATATTCTTTGTATTTCTTTGTTAAATCTGCTCTACAAATACTGCACATTTTATTATTGGGAATGAATTAATGTATTAAAAATGTGTGATCAGATGAATTTTAGTTGGGGCATCCTGGAGGTCTACTGTTTCATTAAATGTCACCTAAAAGTAAAATCATAGCAATATGATGTTTTACCATATGTTGCAGCTCTACTGTCCACTTTAAATAAAGGCCATATGGACTGCTGCTGTATTGGAGTGCAGAGGAGTACTGACCGTGTGGAGATACGTTTGACGGTGATCTGGGGGCCGTAGTTCTTCCCTTGAACCATGGTCTTGCCTATGGAGCGCACCATTGGTAGAGTGTACACTCTGGGGGCCAAGAGGGGCCTCAACTGGCCCTGAACAATCCCCCAGGTACCCGCGTTGTAGTGGGACGTACAGCTCTGCAGAGGAGGAAGAATTACCATTTACGATCATTACATACTGTCACACTGTGTGTGATGGAGCTTTTACTGCCTCAGAAATCTGAAGATTAGTTACTTTAATTTAATAAAAAAGACCTATTTTCCTTTCAGTCAGACATCACATGTAAAGTAGAGAAGTTTGAATCAAAAATATATATAATTGAGTCATGTACTGCCTCTTTGTGTAACATCTTCTCTAAACAAGACACCCTCTTTACCACCATCAGATAACCCTGTGATGTACTCCGCAAGCTGCGTGAGTCAGACTTCATAACATAATGTTGTGGCATCTTTTTTCTTTAGTAAACAACTGGTAACATATTTAAAACTGCAGCTCTGCAACAACACTTCATCTACGTTCCTGTAATGTGTCCCGGTTCTTTGCCTACCTGGTTGTTGGGGCTGAGGTTGAGCAGTCTCCACGAGGAATACATGAGGTCGGAGAAGTGGTAGAGGAGTCGTAGGCGAGCCCTCACCGCCTCGATGCTGACCTCTTTCAGCCCGTTGTACTGAGGCGGCACCGCCACAGGAAGACCCAGTTGGAGAGGAACCGACGAGCCTGAGGAGGAGACATAAAGAGCAGGAGGGCAGGAGAAAGACAGTGAGAGACAGAAGTGGAAAAACTAATTTAAACTTGGTTGCTGCCACAAATCGAGCATTGAATTGGAAATGAAGCATGAAAAAAACAAGTCTATTTGCTGTAGTTTCAGTGGATGCACAAAGATTTTTCTGTTTTCCTTTTATTTGTATTTGGAGGAGGCGATAACAGCGAGTGTGCCTATATTTTATGAGGTATTCACACATGTTTTCAGTTTTATTATCACTTGAAAATAGTCGTTTGGCACATAACCTCTGGAATGAGGACTCAGCAGCTTTCGAACCACAATACATGAAATTCCTCAGTGTTTGTTCACCAAACAACGCCAATGCCTCATCTGACAACAATGTGCTGTGCCCCAGTTTGGTATTTAGTACACGTTGCAGCAGCACCGCAGGAAATCTGACCCTCAGGGATGAAGAGTCTGCCCATTAGACAGCAGTGCCACAGCAGGGGTGTGTGTGTGTGTGTGTGTGTGTGTGTGTGTGTGTGTGTGTGTGTGTGTCCAACCTGGTGCTCGGGGCGGCACAGAGGGAGCCGTCCAGGCAGCACTGTGGCAGCGTCCTGCAGAGATCTGGTGGATGTGTTTTCCCTGCAGCGCCGTCAGCACCGTAGGTTCTCTTACATGGTTGGTGTGACCCAGACCGAGCTAGACGACAAAGCCACAGTTCAACGTCACATCAATTCATCATTAATTAAAGGTTGTGTGAAAACCGCTGAAGCACTGAGACACATTATAAAAAGTAAAGTCATTTCAGTTCAGTTTTATATATTAAAATGATTAAATAAAAGTTTAACAATACTTGATGTCTCGTGTCATTCTCTTAAGTTTCTGAATAGATGACACACGATCATCCCGATCACTCGTAATGAGCGACAATAATCAGGTGAACACAATCTTTTTACCTTTTATCTTTTATAAGTTAGAACTCCTATTATTTTCATTCTTGATTATGTTAATCAAGTTAATAATTTGGTCTGGAAAATATCCACTGAAGTTTCCAAGAGCAAGTCGACTTAATTTTAATTCTTTGTTTTGTCCAAACAGTCAAAAATTCCAAATATTTGCAGTTTATCTTTATAGAAAACTGAAAATAATTAGAGCTGACAGCTTGGAAAAGTGTATTTTTATTAAAATATTTAAACAATAAATGATCAGAATGGTTGCTGAGTAATTTTCTGACAATCGATTCATCAATTCATCAGTTTCAGCTCCATTTGTGGGATTATTTCAAATAGATTTTAAACATGAATCATCCTTTAAACTCACTGTTATTGACAGACTGACTGACAACCTTTCAGAGTTAGGGTAGCAGCAGGTTACCTGTCCCTCTGAGTTGCTGCCCCAGGTGTAAACGTCTCCCGTGGAGGAGAGCACCAGAGTGTGTTCAGCTCCTACAGCGACATCCTGGATGTGGATCCCTGACAGGGCTGGCACCTGCTGCGGCCGGTTGTGGTTCCTGGCTCGGCCTTCTGGCAAGCCAATTAGGCGGTCTGCAGCGGGGGAGGAAAACAAAGATTTTAATGAAATGGTAAAGAAAAAAAAAAAAAAGATCCTGACAAGAACATTATAGTGAAAATGCGGCAGTTTGTTTGGCATAAAGTTTATTTGTTTGTAGGGACAGATGCAGTAAACACAGACAGGATGACAACAGCTATCTGACGCAAGTGTTTGTAGGATGTTAGATGCTAATTCATAACACCCGTCCTTACAAGGGATTTTATGAAAATAAGAGGTTAACACAGGAAGGTCAAAGAGTGAACAGAACACAAAAAGTGTTGAAGTTAGCAGGAAATTTCAGCTGATCAGGTAGTGAGCTGCAGAAATCCAGAAATCTTAAAATCAATTCAAAAACATACAGGAAGCCAGGGGAGAGAAGGGTGATGTGATGCCATCAGTGGTAAACGGTTAATGGATTATCTTCTAACTAATCACTATTATAATATTAAAAACCTGTGAACATCCAACCACTGCGTACCTTGACCAAACGTGAAAACTTTGCCATCTTTGGTTAAAGCCACGGAGAACTGCGTCCCACAAGCCACTTTCTTGATGTTGATTCCACACAGCACGTCCACTTTCTAAAGGAATTTCAAAATAAAACGTTATTACATTTATTTCAAAAGTGGATAATCTGTTTCAGAGGAGGGAAACACAGCAGGCCTCACGGTGCCACAGCGCCTACCTGAGGTGAGGACTTGGCTGTGGAATTGCCAAGTCCCAGTTTCCCGTAGTCTCCATCACCGAAAGCCCAGACCATCATCCCGTCAGCAGAGACGACCAAAGTGTGGTTCAAACCGCAAGCCACCTGAGGAGGGAACACAGGTCAACATAAACCCTGAGAGGTTGTTCATCATCATGTTTACTGAACCAAAACACAAGAAAGAAAGAGAAAATAATGCCATAACTGTGGCAACAAACACAAAAATGAAGGTATGTAAACACTCGATGCTGGGAGACTTTACCAAAAAACTAACGTCACAAATCTGGGAGTGATTTTACATACTGATTTAAATTCAAATTCTCGTTTTAACCAGGAAATTAAATAAAACCAACAAACAAAGAAACCTATTTATTATTATTTTATTTTATATATATTCATTACCTGTTGTTTAGATTACTGTAATACTTAAAGAAAGCTTCAGCTAGTCCAGAACGCTGCATCTGAACTAAAACGAAGAAACCAGATCACATCAGTCCTCTGATGAAGACTCTGCAGTGGCTGTCTGAATCTATTATAACTGATTTTAACTTTCTTTTACTTGTTTATAAAGATTTAAATGACCTTGAGACTGAACTGTGGAAGTTGCTGCCTCCAGATATCAAAGCTCTCTAAGTGCTTTTACTTTGGAGTAACATTAAAGCTTTTGTTTGTAGGTTTTAATCTTTGGTTTTTACATTATTTGTCTCCCTGGTGTTTATTTTTATATTGACTTTATCAATGTTAGCCTCACACAGTTTTATTTATTGTTGTTCATGTTTGTATGAAAGGTATAAATAAAGGTTTCTCTTTGGTCAGTTCTAACATCCTTCCTGTCCTACCTGTCCCACTTGGTAGCCCTCCAAAGCAGTGACCTTCTCTGGCAGCTTCTTGTTGGAGGTGTTTCCTAAACCCAGTCTGCCGTAATCGCCGTTACCAAATGTGAACAGCTTCCCATCAGCTGTTACCACTGCAGAGTGTTTGAACCCACAGGACATCTGCAGGACAACAATCAGAGATAATGTGTGAGTGCAACCGAGCCAACAAAAACACCTTGAACTGTTTATTATTATAAAGTACTCTTGAAGTAAACGGGGCACAGAAATCTATATTTCTGTCTATAAAATCCTTTTAACTGTGTTCATAAATACTCTTGAGGAGGGAAAGACTGACCTGCACCACCTCCTCTCCTTGCAGGGCTTCGATCTGTCTTGGTCGGCGCTGGCGGTCGCTATTCCCGTGGCCCAGCTTACCGTAGTCCCCGTCCCCCCAGCTGAACACCTCACCGCTCTCCGTCAGGGCCATGGAGTGGCCGTCACTGCCGCATGACGTCACCAGCTGAGTCACGACAAAACCTGAGAGACGAAGAGACGGCCGCCCGGTCAGAGAAGAGCTAAACACTTTACGGCTGTTAAAGAAAGGAACTAAAATTCTAATTACATTCATTTAAGTTCACTTTAGAGCTCAAACTTGCAGCTTTTCGAAAAGCACATCAGACTTTTCCGTCTCCTCTCTGACTGTGAAACTCCACTAACACAAAGTGACGACTTCTCTTGAGAACTGATGCACTTAATATCATCGTGTAAAATCTCCTTTTAATGTATATCTAAAAAAATCTGTATTTGAAGGGTATATTAACAAAGCCATATTTAATCAACATTTCATTCTTCTGCACTCATTTTCAGGTTGTAGCCAGAAGTTTTTGACGCTTTCTGTCTTCTCATCAAATCAAATCTGATTACTGATCTTTGAGCTCTTTATAAATTGAGTTACTTGAACCGAATTACATTAAATAAGCGAATCGAAAGGATTCAGATTCGATAAGATGCCATCAAACCACAACATTATCCTAGTTTGACCGCCGTTAGAGGACACATGTTACAACAGTACAATAGTGAATCAGCCATCAGCTAACAGTTAGTTTAGTAAGAACAGATATTTTACCTTGAAGAGCTGAGATGACGGTGAGAACGTGCAGGTCGTCAGAGTTGCCCTGCCCCAGACGGCCGTAGCTGCCCTCCCCACAGGCCAGCACTGTCCCGTTGGGCTGGATCACAAAGGTGCAGTTCTGACCACACACCACCTGACGGGGGAGAGCGGGTGGTGAGGAAGGACATAAAGAGGAAACAGATGCAGGAAATGAACAGTGGTGGTATACAGCAGATAAACAACGGGAGCAATGATCACATTTTATGAAATTGGACAACAACAGGAATCAGATTTTAAGCTGGGAAATTTCCTCCTGTTCATGTTAATTAATTCAATCTTCTCTCTTCTATAAAGTTGGAGGGATTTAATTTTTTTTAAATGGGCAAAATTAAAGTAGCAGAATGTAAAAATATGTATCTAATAGAGACATTATGTATATTTAGTGTTCAGGGTTAAACTTTAGACTTTCTAAGAACACTACGAATTCAATTTAAGACCAATTTTATGTCCATACTGGCAAAAAAACTTTAAAAGGATATGAAGAAAAATCTGTATTGTTTCCATGTTTTTTTCGTTTAGTAGTCAATACAGCATGTTTAATATAAATATTTCCCAAAAGACACATAAAAAAAGGGACTGAAAAATGCAACTTTATACAAGTAACATTAACTTCATTAATCCAATCAACTTTTAAGACCTTTTCAAAATCATATTTTAGGCCTGAAACTCAGATATTTGTATTTAGGACTTTGTAAGACCCTGTGGACATCCTGACAGTGTGACAGGCAATACATGTATTTACTCTTCTACGTGTGTCCTTTACTCTCTTGTGATGTAACTGGATGTGTTGTGTAGATGTAAATAAACAAAGACAGGACTGTCTGTGTACCTGCTGTGCCTGAGAGAAGGATGGGGCGGTGGTTGGCACCAGGATGTTTCTGCCAGCCTCTGCCAGCTGGCCGTGTCTCCCTGCACCCCACAGAAACACATCACACTTCCCCCCGAGGTGCCAGTCCTGCAAACACGCGCAAAAATGTTTAAAAAAATGTTATTATCACCAGGGTCGGAGGAGAATAAACTTAAAACCATTTATTACAGCTAATGGAGGTATCAGTCTGAATTACCTCTGGTCTCGAGGTGGCCCAGGACATGATCTGTTCATCCATACCAGACCCCCATTTACTGTTGTCCTGGAATAAAACAGAGTGCAAACACTGTTATTATCAGCAACAGACCGTGTTAATGACATTATAAATGACAGCTCCAGCAGTTAAAGCCTCTCTCACCATGAGCAGGGCCATTTCATCTTTGGGCACGGGCTCCAGGTCGGGGACAGAGAACGACTCGGGGAAGGTGGCGCCCCGAGCGAGGGCCTCCGCTGCTTTGACTGTTGTAGAGAAGCAGTCCAGCCAGGCCCACTCGCTGGCACACCAGACGGCGGTGCCAGACTCCGGCGGGCAGTGTCGGAGGGGAGGCGGCACCGGGGGGCGACACAGGAGATGGTCCAGGTGGAGACCCACAGCCAGGGAGGCTAGGCACTGCATGTAGGGGCTGTGGACGAGCTGCTCCCCACAAACAACGTGGGGCTGGAAGTCGGGAAGAAAAGGGGAAACATCAGCAACGACAATGATGGAATTTAAAAGTAAAATCACCCTCAAATCGCCTCAAACTGTCCTAACCTGTTCCGTACGTCAGCGAACAGGCTGAGCAACGTGTCACTTGTTTGAAACACGTCTTGTCCTGGTTTTTATTTTTACTCATTTTCACACTCCACCTCAAACCTGCTAACAGGAAGTGTGGAGATCTGGCTATGTGCGACCAGTCAGCAGTCAATATGGGTACGTGGGTGAAGTTTTCTTCCTGCAATGAGTCTGACGGTAGACTAACTTATATGATCCACGGCTCCTTTTTATAAGGATATCCTCAGAAAGGACGAGGTTTGGAAGGAAGTCGGGGAGTAAATTGTCCCTTCAACTATGTAAAAACAAGTTTGACAAAAGTTAAAACATGAATGTGGAGAACATGTTAAATTGTCCCCGTACCTTCTCGTAGGCATACTGCTCCTGCAGCATGACGGGCAGCCTCTCCAGGAAGGCCCTCATGCAGGGAGCCATGTTGAGGCCGACGACGCCCTGCTTCTTCAGAGCCGTGCGGCACGTGGCCAGCACGTGGTTGGATGCCATGAACTCCTTGGAGCAGTTCACAACCAGCACATCCTGGAAATGAAGCAGACCAGAGAGCAAATAAATATCAATTTAATCTACTTTTAGGTATTTTTTAGGGACAGTGTTTTGATTTGTGATGCCTCTAGTGGATTGGTTTTTTTTAGAGAGCTACAAACAGGGACAAACATCAATCAGATCAGGACGTCTTACCTTTGACCTGTTGGAGCAGACGGCGACACCCACATCTGGGATCCAGACTATATTCTGGATTGCCCCTGAACCGGCTACTACTGTCTGTAGCACTGACCCATCCTGTTGGCACACACACACACACACACACACACACACACACACACACACACACACACACACACACACACACACACACACACACACACACACACACACACACACACACACACAGTGAAGAGGCATTCAGTGTCACTGTAAACTTCAGACCTGCACTGCCAGTAATATGAGTGTGTAATGACTCATTTGTTCTTTTCACCTCTGTGCTCGTGTATTGTGCGTTTCCCACGTACATCTGTGAATCTTTGTGACTCGTACCTGCAGTACTTGCGTATATCCTGTGTGGGTGTTTTCACCTCCATCTGTGTGCGTGTGTGTATATGTGTGTGTGTGTGTGTGTGTGTGTGTGTGTTTCTTACCCGCAGGGACCAGATGTTCATGAGGCCTCCCACTCCTCCAGATGCCAGAGCCAGACCATCGGGGCTGAAGGCCAGCGTTCTCACTGGAGTGATGTGTCCCTTCAGCTGAAACACACATACCGCTCCGTCTCCTGACCACCGGGAAGACTGCAGCACAGAGACAACAGGTGAGTGGAGGAGAGGACTATGTTAGCTGAGATACAGTTAGTGATCTGGACTGCAGGTATGGTCAGAAACACAGCGCTCCCACTCTTTCTAAGAAATGTTTCATTTTCAGCACTTGCTCACATGTGGTGGTCAGCTGTAGGTGGTCAGTGTTTATGGGATGTTAGCTCGCCTTCACGGCACTCTTGGCTGTCTCCGGGAACTGACTACAGTTTTCCTCTAATTTGGCCACAGCAAATAAACAATTCATTGTTTTTTACAGAAATTCATCTTCTCACCTGTTATGCTATTGGCCCGTTACAGGGGTCCCACTCTTTCTTAGAAATCCTATTCCAGGACCATTCCAGGACATTTTCCAGGTGTTTTCGACTAAAATTCGTATAATTTTACTGGCAGGACGACTGTTGACACATTTAACCCCGGTTTTATTCCTCCAGATTTTTCCACTGCAGCATATTGACTACAGTTTTCCTCTAACTGTAACATCGACAACTCGACGCCAAAAAGATCTTTACAAGTCAGCAGCTCATCCTATAAAGACTCAAGTTTCAAACTAAATATGCGACCAGGTTTATGTAGGCGATCTGAGTGAGGGGCTGAAATAATAGAAACATTTTCCAGGACAACATAGATTATTTCCAGGATATTTGGTCATTTTAATCAGTTTCCAGGTGTTTCAATGACTGGAAAACTAGTCAATAAATTTCAAGTTTTTCTAGTATTAGCGGAAACCTGAAATATTTAGAAGCTAAGGCAAAAAAAACCTTCGACTTTCATCAAACCTCTTTTTCATTATAACATTAAAATCATGAATGATAAAATGATAAAAGCAACATAAGATCTCATTTCTTGTCCACTTTGCTTATTATAGGAAAATAATAGAGTTAGTACCATGAATTTGGGTTTTGATTCATTCTCCCACCACCCCTCCGACTCAGACGGAGAGGATTCTGGGAAGTTAGAGATGTTCTGAGGAACAGTCCAGACTGTCACCAGGCCGTTCTGGCAGCATCTGAAACACACAGCGACACGTGAAAACCAGAAGATATTCTGTCATTGAAACATAGAAACCTCATGTTACAAACGTGCCGGGTTGAGAACGAAAATGTTTCCTTGAGATTGCAGCAGATTAAAAGCTTCATATTAAGGGCTTGTGTCCTAATGTTGTTATTTTCTGAGTGTAAGCCCCCTGAGTGCTTCTAGTTGAAAAGCTCTTAACTTTTTTTCAGAAAGGCACTGGAGTCGTCAATCAGATATTGGATTCGGGACTTGTCACCCCGGTAACCAAGAAGAGGACAAGTTCTGACTGTGTCTCTCTATCCTGAGCATTATGATATGTCAGAGTCATAACAGAGACAGAAAGGACTTTTTATCTCTACCCTGCCAGACAATAACTTCATAAAGTGTTAAATAAAAACAAAGTATAATCAGCCATAATCCCGCCTGTATTTGAGGACGTACATGGAGAACATGCTGAGGGGCTTTGGCCCACGTCCAGGCAGGCTGCACCAGGCCACACCGTTGACCAGGGACGGGTGTCTCAGACTCTGCAGGCAGCGCCAACCAGAGCCGGAGCCTGAGTCTGAGCGAGAGTCCGGACTGGCCCACAGCTTCACCGTCTCCTCTTTGGCACAGGTCAGCAGCATCTGACCGGTAGGACTCCACTTCATACTGGTGATCGACTCCTGTAAAAACCACACGCAGAGAGATTCAGCTCAGAGATTCTCAATCGAAACAACAGACTGTTGATTTGTGTAGAAACTGTTTACCTTGTGCGCATCAATGACCACGATGGCTCCTTTTTCTAAGGGCTCTTTGGATCCTATCAGCAGCTTCCCATCTGCGTAGCCCACAGCAAAAGGCTTGTCTTCGCTGTACCAGGCTATGTGCATCACTGCCACTGAGAGAGGAGGCAGACAGGTGAATAAATAACAAAGATTGTAAATTACTGACTGACAAAGAGATTTAAAAACATCTTCTTCTTACCATCTTTCCTGTAGCAGTGCTCCAGCTCGGTGCGGTGCATCCTGGAGGTATCCAGCACCTCAATGAGGCCCAGAGATCCATCCATCCGTCCCACCAGCAGCATGTCCTTGGGTTCCCCGCACCACAGCGACTCTACCTCCTCTTTAGGCCACGCCAGCGCCGAAACCCAGTGAGGCTGCACGTCCAACAGGCCCTTACCACCTTAGAGGAGAGGAGGCGAGTGTGGAGCTGTTACAGCAGGCCTTTTATCACACTGACATTATATGTTTACACTTAAAAAGGCAAAAAACAATCAGGGTTTCCGTGGGGTTCAACAGGGTAAATTTAAGACCTATTAAGACCATTATGAATCAAATTTAAGACCTATTTTATGACCATACTGGCAAAAAATAGTACAAAGGATGTGAAGGAAAATTGGTATTGGTTCTATTGGTGATCCAAACCGCAGAGCTGCAGTGTTTTAATTAAGGTCAAATGTGCATCATAATGAAGTAGAGAGCTGCTGTAGAGCTGCAAAGATTCCCTGGCCTTTAAAGCTGGTTTTCCAGATAAAAAACAAAACAAAAACATGTTTGTTTGCTTCAGACCCCAAAAAATGTTACATGATCTTTTTTTTTTCCAGTGAAAATGAAATTTATGATGCAGAAATGATCATTCCCACACTAACTGTGAATCATATCGCATTATCTGTCAAAATAATCACAATAAGATGTTTTTACTATAATGTGCAGCCCTCCTCTATAATCGTAAAGCTGCTGTGCAAATAGTTTTATTGATTGTTAAAATTTAAATTATTGCATTTTAGACTCTTTTTTGAAGAAACTGTGGACACTCTGATCAACGGCCACAGAAAGATAGTAATGCATGGAGTGGGTTTAATTCACTTGTGCATAAGGAAGGACACAGTCACATTTCAACGGCACATGTGCTCATGAAAGCTAACAGGAATGTGGTTGTGGACTTTCATCCTCGAGGCGATTCAAAGTGGCCAAGGACAGATGGTGCATGCTGCAGGGCGTGTGGCGGGAGGCAGGAAACGATGATTGGACCGCATTCAGTCCCCAGGCATATTTATTTTTAATGGGAGCTATAAAATCTTAATGCACTCTCATTCATATTCTGTGGACCTCACACACCAGTGATGCAAGCTGTGCCACATAACACATTTAATACCGGAGCAGTTTTTCAAAACAACTTAATGGAGCTCATTATTAACATACTGTAATAACAGGTGAATATTTACCATTAACTTGCCAGATGTTGACCATTTTCTCCATGGCGGAGGCCAGATATTTTCCAGTGACACTCCATGCAAGAGGAGACAGGCAAGGGTCGCTGGGAGATCCCAAACCTGACATTCCCTCCTCTGAAGAGCCATCGCTGAGGAGACAGGACACACAATCAACACAAATGAGACCAAGACCTAAAGCTGCATTCATTTATTCGTTTGGCCGCTTGGAGGCAGCTGAAAACACAACATCTGACATATTATCACCTCATAAAGTTGTTGTGGGGAATGTGTTAGCAAACTGTGGCCTTTTTACACATCCAGCTGACACAGAGGAACATGTAATCAACGGGTTCAATCTGACACTTTTAAACTCCTTTTTAAGACAATTTAAGACAATTTAAGACCTGTTTTACATCCATTGCAAAGTAGGAAGGATATGAAGGAAAATCAGTTCTGGTTCCATGTTGGTCTAAAGTAATTTATTGTTTCTGTAGTTGTACTATGTGGTTTCTCATGAACGTACTGAGGTACCTGGAGGTAGAACACGAGACTACAGTATCTGTAAGTATTCAGTATTGTTGTCATGTAGTATTTTAATTCATTTGTGGGTTTTTTTAGAAAGCCTTACTCCTTGTTGAAGATGCAGGTCTGCTGGAGGGTGTACTGGTTTTTGGTTACGTTCCACATCCTGACCGTACCATCATTGCCACTAGTTGCCAATAATCCTTTTTTACTGCTCCAACCACATGTGATGACCTGAGTGAAAAGGAGAAAGAATTTGAAACAAACTATTTTGATTTGTAAACCAGCCTGGGAACCCTCTGGATCCTGTAGCGACTCACTCTGCTCTGGTGAGCCTCCAGCTTGATGAAGGAGCACTTTCGCAGGTCCCCCGCCATGTCGGCGAAGGTCTGCGGCCGGCTCTGGTTGTTGTCGCGGTCGTGGGCGGCCAGCGTGCGGACCAGTTGCTGGGCGGCCCACTGGCGGTGCTGCGAGGAGAGCCTGGAGGACAGGCAGCAGGCCGCCAGAGCGTTGGCCAGCTCAAGAGGCCCTACAGCGGAGGGATTATGGGAGGGATGGGCATACAAATGCGCAATTAGACCTGCTCGACACGGAACACAAGGTGACAAAGTTGCCCGGTGAGTGAGAGAAAGCGCACAAATGAAAAAAGACAAACATGAAAACTCCAAAAGAAAATCAAAACCAAAAGGTGACCCGAGTGCACAGAGAGGAGCAGCTGGCACAAGCATGAGTGCATGAAACAGACATCACTGATGAGCTATGACAGTACTACACAAATACGTGCTAATTATAATAATAATAATGAAAAATAATAATCTAATAATCTAAAAAATAAAAATAAAAATACATCATAGAACATTGCTTTGCCTTGAATAACACAACATAAGACAGAAGCGCTGTCCACATCTCAAATTAGCAGAACAAAGTTTGAGGCCACAAATAAAGATAGAGAAGATATTTGAAAGACAAAAGTATGAAATGTGGCTTAATCAGTCAAGGCAATGCCATGTTCAGTTAAAATATTTCAAATACTCTGAGCAACAGCCTTCACACACAGTATCCAGTATCTACTTACATATCTAAAGAACTATAAAAACAACCAAAGAGAAGAAGAAATGCACAGAAACAAAACACGTCACATAAAATGTAACACCGGCTCATTTTTATCTCCTACAAACCTCTTTTCTCCATATCAGCCTTGTCATAAGCAGGTCTGAGTCTGGCCCCTTTATCCGCCAGCAGGGCCACCAGAGCCTGCGTGACCACAAAGTTTGGAGATGTGACGAGCTTGTTCTCCTCGGCCACGCCGCGCAGAAAACTGGGCAGGAACTTCCTCTGGATGGGGTCGTCCACTGTGGTCAGATTCATGCCGGTAGCTGCAGAAATCAGGTTCTGGAAAGGGAAAAATATGACTTAATTGCTTTATCTTTAAAAAACAGGTAACTGGGACCATTTCAGAAAACAATTAGACTGCTTACTAATAACTGTTAAATATAAAAATAAAGACCTGTCTCTAATGACAGGTTTTCTCTTCTGTTAAAATAAATAAAGTATTTTGTTCTTACAGAATCTAATCAGCCAACAACTCTTGAACATCAGACCTCACTAAAGCCATGATATGAATAAAGAAGTTCCAGGCTGATGAGTTATCCTTGTGTACCTGAGTGCAGAGCTGCACCAGCAGCTTGGCAGCATTGGGACTGTTGGAGGCCAAGCAGCCCACTGCTGTGCTGAGGTAAGCCAGACAGGAGATGGGTTTGCTGGCCTTGGTGGCCCCACGGGGCCTTTCAGCGTGGCCGGAGCCTGATGTAGGACTGGTGGAAAGACCGGCCCGACCCGCTGCCGCCAGGCACATTAGTCTGACCAGAGTTCTGATGTCAGTCAAACCAAGAGACTCCAGACCTGCTGCAAGGCTGCAGCTTGAGCCACTGTGTGGGAGGGAGGGAGGCAGGGAAAGTAATGTAAACACAGTTAGACAGCTCTGCTTCCATCTAAATGTCAAGTCAATTTTTTAAATATTCACATAAATGTCATCCAAAAGGTTCAAATAAATACATAATTTGGGGAATTTAACTGCTTTATTTTATTTAACTGCTTTCTCAATATCCAGTTTTTAGTGATTAACAAACAAAGAGTTTCAGTATCAATCAAGAACAGACAAACAAACAACACTTAGGAACAGAGAGAGATGGCAAAATACACAGTATATCTGAGACATAATTTCCAATTGAATCATTGTTTCAATTGTAGTGAATTAAAACCACTTTTATTTATGTAATTATGGCATTTTGAGAATATTGTGATGACATTGGCTTTTTTGATACGACCACTAGGTGGCACCAATGTTGTTAAAATTTCAAATCCTACAAATAGCATAGGCTGAGGCAAAAGTTTCCCCTCATGCAATCTTTTACTAATTGAAAAATAGTCAAACGTTATCATATTATTATTTTTAATAACAAAAGTCTAAATGCAGGCCTTATAGCCCACACAGACAGACAGAGGGAGAGTGCTGTCATGTTCTGGTGGTTTCTTCCATTTTCTCCCTGGTAAAGGTTTTTTTTAGGCAGATTATGATTTGTGATTTGGGCCTAAATAAATGAAATCTGACTTGACTTCTCGTGTTGGTGAAGACTACCTGACAGACAGCAGGGAAAGGGCTCTCATCACCATCGTCCTGGCCAGCAACACCTGTGCCGCAGCCGTCACTCTCCTCAGCGCCATCACTCGGTCATGAGGGTTCTGGAGGGCCGCCGCCTGCTCGCCGAGGGTCACCCTGCCCGATGAACTCTTATCCACCGAGGTCTGACAGCCTGAACACAAACACGGTTTAATGCTTTAAAGAACGCAGGCTGACAGTCGGAGAGGCAGCACACGAAGCTCTACGTAATATCAAAGCATTAAGTATCTTGTTGTCCTCCTCACCGATCTGCAGCAGGGTCTCTTCCATACTGTTGGTGGCTGTCACCATGGCAATGGAGGCTCCCAGCGGGTCGCTGTCGGGGAACTGGACAGCTTCGGGGACGATCCTGCGCTCATTCAGACCCAACGGGCCGGCCAACAGCTCAAACTCCTCCTCCCCAGTCAGCTTCTCATCTTCATCGACGTCCAGCATGTCCCAGTCCTCTGTAGCGGGACAGACGGACACAAGCGATGTGATAATGAAACAGATGCTTTAATACATCACATTGACCCTGAAATGTTCAGAATGCACTTTACCTTCATAGACGCTGTCCTGTTTTCCCAGGAGGTCCGGAGCCTGTCCCTTATACCTGAACACATATCGCAGAATATATCACATGATTCAGTTTTATCTCCTTTAAATATCAAAATAGTGCAGAAATAAATACGACACCATATATCATATACAGAGGTACAGGTGAAACATTTTTAATGTGCTTTGCTTTCGTGTTGTTTCTTCTCCCCGTGTGTGTAAAGGCTTTAATGGTGACATTCCTCACAGAATATCAGTACTGTGGCGTTCATACCTCTCCACAATTGGGACTTTGGCCTTGCTTTTAATGGCCAAGTACTTCTCTCTGCAGCCACCGCACAGCAGGTAGTAGGGGTTCCCACTGCCGCACTCCCCTCCGAACCAGCCGTCCACGTAGGAGCCGTTGCTGCGGTAACCCTGGCGGTTGGCGCTGCGGCCACAGCCCGGGTGACTCTTCTTCATGTGCTGATTGAAGTTGGCGACGTTGGCCTCGCACAGCTCGCACACCACCACTTCATCCCGATCGTCTGTCTCACACACGTGCTGTGAGGGGTGGTACGATTACAGACGGACGCACACACACAAACACATACATGAAGACAAACACGTATTTACACGACACACACACACACACACACACACACACAAGACACAAGACAGAGTTGTTCAGAACAGCAGTTAAGCATCCGTGCAATGTGATGAGTCAGAAATATGAGTCGATGACAACAACAGCCAGTTATCAGCAGTGAGAATAATCATTTAGTTATTAAGTATTAAGTGTTCTTTCATGCCAGTTAGATCAATAGAGTGGGCTTTAAGTGGAAGCGAGAGCGTCTGACTCATGAAGCTCCCATTTGAGAGTGCAGGCACAGTCTGACTTTACTGCGAGTGAGAAGTGATGCGGGGCAGGTGAAGAGCAGAATGGTGATGGCAGCCCTCTAGCCATAGCATAAAGTCACACACACCCATGTTGGCCAGTCCAGTACCTCCGGGATCCACATTCCCAGAATGTCGGTGTCACTGGCGAGGTCCTGCCCGAACATGGCCTCCATGGTCTCCTCGTCTAGGTCCATCTCCAGCTCCTCGTCCAGGTTGAAGTCGTAGAGGGCCCCAGGGTCTTGCTGCTGTTGGAGGGATGAGACCTCCCGGCGGGACTGGCTGTGGTGGGCCTGCACCGAGCGGTACAGTCCAGCTTTAAGGGAAAGAAAGTTTAAAGTGAAGTGAGGAAGTGGGAAATAAAAGTATAAACTAAAGGTAAGAGATGTGAAATATTCTTACCGGCGCGGGCTAACAGTGTGCGTGCAGCCAGGTCGAAGCGGTGTTTCCTCCCGACAGCAGAGCGACCTCTGAGCGGAGCTCCGCTGGAGGCTGATGCACTGTCCTGCTCCAGACCTTCAGGACTGCAAGGTACACAAATATAAACTTTATTTCTATATACTACCATTTATTCAACTTTATAGCATTCAGTATGGAAGTAACTTTTATTTTGATGCTAAAGCAAAACAGATTGTTATTTATTAGAATGGTGCAGAAAATAAGTTTATTAACCAACTATTTCATGCCAGTGCCAACAACTGGTTAGCTCATCGATTAGCTGTCAACTATTAAATTAATCGCCAACTATTTTGAGTCATTTTTAAAGACTAAACAACAAATAGATGAGTCAAGAAAATGATCAACAGATTAACTCATAATGAAAATCATCATCAGTTGCAGCCCTTAACTGACAGCACATGCTGGAGCATCATGTTGTATGTCTGTGAGGAGATCTATTATGAATACCTCTCACTGAAGCCTTCCTCCATTTCTGAAGCATCTGCACTGGCTATGTCTCCAGGAGAGCACAGATACGGGCTCCGGTCCAGAGATTTGCCTCCAGCAGAGGCCGTTGCACCCGGACAGGACGAGTCAGACCCGTCATTGCCGACGCCGCTGCCTCTGGTGAGAGGCTCGTCGTGCTCGTCCTCCGTACCTGGATGTTCTATCATCCACATGGCCAGCACTGTGATGTTCTGAGCGTCAGCTTCTCCTCGAGCACCTGAGGTACCAGGAATACACACCGGAGCCATCAATATACCGCAGAATGATACCATACCACAATACTCACAGTCTAATACCTGCTGGCCTAATTAGGTCAGAGTTAAACCTAATTCATTAAGAATAATAATAACATTGCAGACACGGTGAAGAAGGGAACTTGGAGTGAGACTGACCAGTGGCTTCCAGAGCTTTGGTGATCTGGCGCAGGGAGAAGCCCATCTCCAACAGGGGCACAGCGATGGCAGGAGGAGGGGGAGATGTTGACAACCTGCTGCTGGGGTCTGACAGAGCTGGAACAAACACAATCAGTGAAATTATTCAGACATCTGGGATAAAGGTGTGAATATCGCAATATCGTGTATCACTGAAAAAACATACACAATATTACAATGTGATGAGCTTTTCTCTTTTTTCTAATTTATAGTCTGATAGAAAAACGATCAGAAACTAAACTGAAGTTAGTTTAAGGTTAGATATTAGACTTCGTGTTACCAACTCTGTGATGTTTGTATCAATGACTGATCAGACAGAGACTTTATTTGAACTAATTTGAACAGGAATTTCTAAAAAAAACTGTCTAAAAGCTAAAAACGCTGCAGCTTTCGTGGACGTAAAGACACGCCGCACAAACTTTTCACCAGCTGTTATATTTGACTGCACTGCAATCTGGCATGCTTACAGGTGCCCGTCCTGTTTTGTGGTCTGTTGGGCTGGGAGTCAGGGGAGGTGAGACTCTGCCGGCGGCCGACCTCATCTGAGGGAGACGTTGGCAGAGAGGACACCGGAGGAGTCTGAGCTCGGCGGGTGGGAACCAGGGTGGTGGTTGGGTAGCTTGAGAACATTTGCCTGTCACATCACAGAGAAGCATCAAAATCATCATCTCAATTTAATCACACATGAAAAACAAGGCTACTCACTGGCTGACAATATGTGCAGCCATCTGTTCTGACCTGAGGAGGCTGAGGGGCATGACCCCCGGAGACTCCGAGGCAGGGACAGTCTCTGTGTCTGTGACAGGGGTGGTAGCAGTGGTGGTGTCCTCCAACGAGGAACTCATGAAGGAGGTGGTGCTGGAGGCAGAGGGGCTGGTGGTGACAGGAGTTTGTGCTAACTGCTCTCCCTCTATACCTTCCCCCTCACCTTCTGGCTCACTTCTCACTCCTACGGGAGATTAAAAGAAAGACGAAGATGGAAAAGACGTAAGAAACTCCCGGAGCACTAATTAACAATCTCGGTACATCCTATCTCTACATATTCTCACCAGGCTTGGCTTTGCCTCCACTTGGCTCCTCCAACAGCCCGTTCACAACTAGCTTGTAGATCATGGCCTGTGCCCTCTCCAGGTCTGCCAGGCCCAAGGCCCGCTTGATGGGGGAGCGCATCACTGCCCGCTTCACCATATGGCGCATGAGAAACTGCAGAGCCGCCCGCATCTCCACCTCTTCCTGGCACACAGGCGAGGTGGCAGCTGTGCTCCCGCTGGTGCTGGCATTCAGATCAGCATTGTGCCCGCTGGGTGCTGCTTCCGGTAACACCTTGATGTTAGCAGAGAGAAAAAGGTTAGCATAAATCTGACAATCTTTGACCTGGATCGGTTTCAGGTGTGAGAAGATAGTCGCCTTTTTGAACACAGATTGTTTTAATTATTCCTTTATATAAGAATCGATATATGAACGCAGGGGAGGGAGGTGAGAAACAATAAAGGTGAGTTAGATGAGAAGATCGATACTACTCTCATATCTGTTGGTTAAAGTGTAACCTTCAGTTCTGCTAGCTCCCTCCCAGAAGATTTAAAAACACATCAGAGACCTACAAAGGACCGCGACTTCAGGGGGCTACAGTTTCCTCTAATTGGGCCACAGCCCATAAGTTAACAGTTCAAATCAGCTTCGAATTTATTTTATTTTTAAATTCATCTTCTAGAAAGTGAAAGCCTTTGTGGCATGTACAATTAACTTTACTTTGCATGTATTTATCAACCACAACAACAAAGGTAGATTTGATTAGTAATGGCTGTAAGCATGTAGATATGAGCGTCTCCAGAAAAATAGTCTCGACACAGAAAAGATCATTGCAGGTCTGTTCTGTTTCGTGTCTGGTAAACGCTCTCTGAAGGGTCTTTTGAAGTTATCCTACCAACAGTCGAGTAAATAAAACATTTTCAGGACAACATGGATTACTTCCAGGATATTTGGTCATTTTAATCCATTTCTCTGAATATCAATGTTTTTCAGGACACATTGGTCTAGTCTTTATGCTATGCTAAGCTAAGCTAACCAGGTGCTGGCTCTAACAACATGTTAACAGATGTGATATGTGATATCAATCTTCTCATCTAACTCGTGTATTTCCCAAAATGTCAAACTATTCCCTTTAAGATTTCCTGATGCCACTGGCGTAAGTGATTAAACTTGTATCTGTATGAGTAAACGTAGAAAGTTGGAGGTACCTTTGGTATGAGCAGCAGCTCAGCGTACTTGCTGCAGCTCAGCAGGGCGCTGAGGGCCTTCATGGCTCCCAGGTAGAGGTAGGACAGCTGCACAGCATGGATTTCAGACTGGGTGGCGACAGAGGAAGGAGAAGGCTCGTGGCTGCGGGAGCCGTGCTCGTGGCCTTTCTTCCTGTTCCCCTCGGCAGGTGTATGAGGAGCTGAGGCGAAAAGGGTCTCATTCCCGCCTCCGCTAACAACAGAGGAGATCTCACTCTCTGACTTCGAGTTGGGCGCCACGTGTGCTTTCATCTCTTCCAGGCTGTGGGACACACGCAGGTCAGAGGTCGGGATGTTCGGAGCAGCTCCAGATGAGGCTCCGGTGCTTTCCTTCTGTTCACTACGGTTGTGCCCCTCGTTGTCCGCCTTGTCCTCGTTACTGGTCGGCTCGTGCCCGGTCGAGGCTGCGTTGCGGTGCTTCTTGTCGTGGCGTCGCGCGCTGAGCTTAGCCGCGGTGTCCTCGTGGATGCTGGTAAGGTAGGTGACGTCCAACAGCAGCGAGGCGGTGAGGCCACGGAAACGGGCCACGTCGAAGGGAAGCGGCTCGCAGGGCTCCAGGTTGTATAGTGGAGTGTCACTAGGTGACCAGAAAGTTGGGAAGCTTTAATAGAAGGGAGTGGAGAGTGAAAAGAGACAAGGGAAGGAAACACAAAGTGAGGGACAGGGCCGGAGAGAAAGAGCACAGCATGCAAGACAAATAAAAAGATGGGTATGAAACAAAAAAAATATGCCACTCAATGAAATGTAAGGCCATGCAAAAGAGAAATGGATTAATAATGACAGAAGCATGGATACAGTAAATCAGGGCGAGGGGAAATGGGAGGTGAAAAAACAAGAGGCTAATATAGAGTGTTAGAGGAATGTGAACACACAGGCAGTGAAGAAACAATCTGTGTTTCAAAGTACATTTTATTAGCCATGTGTGCTGATGACTGAGCCAACACATGTAACATAAGAACTAGGGTTGAGCGACTGGACGAATACATCGACTATCAGGGATTAACTGAGTCTGTTGTCGGCTGTTTTTTTGTTAAATTAATGGTCTCCGACCAACGAGAGCCGCTGCTTACATTCGATTTGATGCAGACGTATAAATCAGGTTTCCGGAAGAAAAAGTGAGAGAATAAAACGGCTGTAGAGCCAGAATAGTTTCACATCTAACTCTGGGAATTGGAGGTTTATTTCAACCAGTTTGATGACATGGAATACAGTACCGAGGTGTTTCACAGCGGCTCCCACCAGGACTGGGGGATAGGTGTGAAGCGGTAGAGGAGCAAAAAAACGAGGTCAGCATCAGAGAGGCAGCGCCAGCGTGTGGAGCCAGAATATTTTTACGTGTAAATCAGTTAGACAGTTAAACACCAGAGTTGCTGATTGTTGGAACAGTGAAAAGGAGGTTTTGGTGTGTTTTATTTGGTGTGTTTTATGATGACTTAAAAAGGCAATTAAGCTCATCTCAGTTTGGTGAAAGAAAGAAAATTGAATTCAGAAGGTGTACGGTTGTATTTTCGTTCATTTTAAAAAGGAAAACAGGTGTCAGAATATTTCCTTTCTTTACATTGTAAGAGTTTATTTTAAAGTTAAGAGAGTTTGTAACTCGCCGCTCATATCCAAAATGTTAACATATCGCTCAACCCTAATAAGCACCTAGAACAGAACGCCATGCAAAGCACTGCTGTTGGACCAACTATCATGTTATTTCCCCACAGGAATTAAGAGGGCTTTGCCGTAGGTTTCAGCTCACTCAGCACATTTTTTACCCAAAAGCAGTGACAGCCAAACTCTTTACATGGCTGGCATTGCCCAAATACAGTTTGGTATCTATAGTATACTAGGAAATAACAACTATAGCAACATACACAAAGAAAAATGTTAAAGAAAGGTGACAAAAAAAGGTGCCACAGCAAAACTTCAATCTGTACCTGATGGTGATCTCGGCCTCGTCCCACTGCACCTTCGCCGAGGTGCTGCCTTCCTTCACCACGCCCAGCAGAGTGGCGTGCCTCCCGGTCTGCTTGTGCACACATCGCCCACCAACACGCAGGCCTGCATCCGCCCCACCGATGATGGCCAAGACCGGCCACACCTCTGTGCACAGCGTCCTCAGGTGGTGCTCCGACAGCTCCCCCAAGCCATGCTGCCGTCCGTGGCGTCCCCTCTCCTCCTCTGTCCTCGTGGGGGTTTCTTGGCTTTCTCTCTGGGCGTCGTGCTCCTCGCGGCTCTGCACTGAGCGACTCTTTTTCAGCCTCTGACCCCCGCCGCCCCCAGCTGCACTGGCTGACTCTCTAAAGCAAGGTTTGATCTTGTGGAGCCGTTCGATCATGGTCTTGTTGATGCGGTGGGTCCAGTGGTCGGTGCGATGTAGGATGCGTATCAACTGCGTGGTGGCTTCGGCCAGGACGGTGGCCACGGGGCTGCAGACGGGGTCACCAGGTAGGAGGTCTCGAGGTGTTCCCCTCATCTGCATGTCACAGATCTTTACCTGGAAAAATAATTCATTTACTGTATTTAGAGTTTTGATGACACCTAAATCAACATTAACACTTCAAAAACATTCATGTAAATGTGCCACGATTAGTTCAAAGGTTAATTTGTCCCAGAGTTTCGGAGATATTAAACTACACCTGCCAACCGTAGCTGAACGTTAGCTACCTCAGTGGTGCTAGGTGAGCTGGCTAACAATACAGCTCTGTTGTGCACATGGAGAAGAAGTGTACCTCTCAGGTGGATATTTACAGTCTCTTACCTTCTCTCCTGGGTTACTGCTGTAGAACATCACACAGGGATAGAGCTCTGTGGCGTCAACATCCTCAAAGGCTAATTTAGGCTCCTGTGGAATCACAAGTTAGCAGTTAGCATTTGACACAGAACCCTGAGGTGTTACGCAACTTTCTTTCTTGTCTTTAATTTTGTGTAAATAAAAAAACAAATATATACACATATTATCAGAATATTTATATATAAAAACATGATAAACTGTTACATGAACATGGTGCAGCGTGTGATATCGAGCTCACCTCTCCGTTCTTGCCAAACGAGATGGTTCTGGCCTCCATGTCCAGGACACAAGTGATGAAGTCTCCCTGAGTGAAGCTGCTCAGTGTCAGCGTTTGCTCCCCGTTGTGATAGAGGTTCCCGCTGTACGCTCGGTACAGCCACATATCCGACGTTGTGCGGTGGTTGAAGTCGTGCACGGGCCATCGCGAAACGCCCACACATGTACCCTCGTTGCCTCGGTTCTCCTTCACGATGTAAAACTACGAGAGAAATAAAGGGTGAAATTAATCAGAACAAGGCAACAAAAAAGGAAATAGCTTATATTTTTCTTACTTTCTCATCAAGTAAACTTTTTTTAACCTTTTAAGATTGCATCCTCAGTTATATTGGACTGTACCAGCAATGATAACAGCTTCTGAATGGACTACATTATCATTTTAGTGCCACTTGTGAAGACATAATACAATACTGTACCTTCCACTGGTAGCATCCGGAGGAGATGCCAGTGGAGGCCAGGCCGTAGCCTTTACCCCCACTCCCATGAGTCAGCCCCTGGCCATTTTCCACCACACAACACTGAGCCTTCTCCGGGTCAAAGGACACTTCCTGAATGGGAAGGTTCTCGTCCTCCTCCTCTGCCTCTCCCTGTGGATTAAAGAAGCTGTCAGTCACTAAAATAAAATCTAATAATCAGGTGGTTAGGAAGGGAGAACGGTTGGTTGCACACCTGTAGTTTGAGTTCTTGGACTTTTTCTTTAATCTGGATTGAGTGTTTGGCCTGAGCAATGGGAGCTTCCCACATGCAGTCAGACAGCAGGGAGAACAGCCGCTCAACAACCTAGAAGGGAACAAATGATATCATCTCACTGACTGAGAGCAGTCTGTTATTGAGGATTTGAACCAAGTAAAGAAAGTGGTATACCTGTGTCATTTGGTCATCCTCCATATTGGCCTCACAGGCAGGAAGGACGGCCTCCAACACATGAAGAGCCAGTAGGCGAGTTCTCAGGTTTCCCACCAGAGGGACCCCTACAATTAACAACAAGAGTTAAAGTCTCAGCTGCGTCTTCATTAATGTACCACACGGTGATCTCTGCTGGGTTACATGAGCTGACGGTACCTGAGCAGCATTTCTGTGCAGCGATGTTGAGCAGCACTTCAGTCCATTTAGGGGAAGCCATCTTGGACTGGATGGCCTTGGAGGACACCACTCTCCTGAGGAAGACGAGGAAGTCTCCCAGGTGTAGCTCAGCAGTGTGCTGCTTACGGATCAGAGCTAAAAAAAACACAAACACTATTACAGGATGCATACTACAGTTCCACTGCTTCCACTGTAGGTTTATTAGTTAGGATCCCGTGGGTACATATGGAAAGATATGCATCTAGCCCAGTATCCCTACGCTCCCTGTTCTGCGCTCCTCTGCCCTTAAGCAAGCATCTTTACACAAACAACCCTGTTGTACATGGCTCTATCAAAATCTGGGTTCAATTCAGAACTCATTTTAAAAACAGAAACGCCCTCCTATCTGCTCCCGTCTGGCAATCACTTGTTTTCCCTGGCCCTTGGGGGAACAGCGTTTAGGGAATGGTATAGAGCTGGGGTGGAATGTGTTAAAAATCTTTTTAAAGATGATGTATTTATGTCTGCTGCTCAGCTGGAGAAGGAATATGGAATCCCCTCAAAGACTAACCACCTCAGATTGGACATGAACCCGACTCTTAAAGGGATGGTTTCTATGCTTTATGTGAATATCCAGAAGGTGGCTTCCCCATCCCTTGATTACACAAAGAAGAAATGGGAGGAAGAGTTAGAATTGGACATATCGGATGCTGAATGGGGATGGGCAGTAGAACTAATACACTCTTCTTCTGTATGTGTTAGGCATGGATTGATACAGTTTAAGGTGTTACACAGACTTCATTTCACGAGGGACAAACTGGCAAGAATCTACCAGGGAGCTGATCCGACTTGCCCTAGATGTAAACAGGTGCCAGCCAACATAAGCCACATGTTCTGGTCTTGTCCCAGGCTCAAAGAGTTTTGGACTAAAATTTTCAAAACCTTCTCATCCATTTATAACAAAAATATAGAGCCCGGTCCTCTGGCAGCCATTTTTGGTGTGGCACCGGGGGAAACACAACTAACGATTGCTCAAAGGAAAGCAATAGCATTCTCTTCATTGTTGGCCAGGAGATTGATCTTATTTAACTGGATAAAGGCAGCACCGCCAACTCACAAACGATGGGTAGAGGAGGTGATGGCACACCTTAAATTAGAACATCTTAGATTTACTTTGCAGGGCAACACTAAGAGATACTCTAAGATCTGGCAGCCTTTTATTTCTTATTTTGAACATGAGTTTTCATCTGCTCCAACATAACTGGCAGCTTCTGAAACCCCCCGTTTTTTTTTTTGTTTTAATGATATTACTATTATTATTATTGTTGTCAATTTTGTCATTTTTATTTATCTATCTATGATTAACCCGAGAGTGTCTGTGTCACACAGGTGGTGGGTATGTCTGATATCTAGTAGTAGTAGGATCTGTCTTGTTACTGTTCTGTCTGTAGTTTAGACCTGTACCTGTGATGTATATTTTGTATCCTACTATTTTGTCTTGAATGGGATGTTTGATGTTCGAATATGAAAATCAATAAAAACACTTTGATTATTGTTATTAGTTAGGATCCCTGTTAGTTAGTGTTCCTGGGGTCAATATTTAGGTACAGTAAATATTGCTCTTAAATACTGACACCAGAGAATCTAGTTAGCATCATTTATATCAGAACTGGAGAGTATTTCGCCATTGAAAGAAGAACAAAGAGTGCTGTTGAACATCCTCATTAGTATATTTGTGTTGTTTTTAAGTTTGTTCTTTTTTTCTACTGGTATGTATATTTTCTAAACAGTTCCTAACAACGACTTCCCAGCTGGTTCTGTGTAACACACCCTCGTTATCATTGTATTGTTATATTGTTGTAGTGTGTTTGATCATAGCTGTTGTTGATGAACACTGCTCAAATGAATAACCAGTATGGGGATTGTATTATGGGACAACATGGATTCTCCTGACTGAAAAACAGATGCTTCCCATTAAAGGGTAACAAGAGCAAACTCCTTTATCACCTCTGAAGTCTTTCTTTTCGGAGTCTGCACTGTCCTCCTGTTTGTTGTCCTCCTGGTCATTTCCAGAAGAGAGAAGACTGACTCCTGCCTGAGACAGCAGGTTCTTCAGCTGACTGCACAGCAGGTCCAGCAGCGACTGGACAACCTTGGGACTTAACTTGTCTGCATATGTCCTGCAAATCCAAGGAAAAGACACAGCTGTTGTTATTATCTTTGTACTGGATCAGGCTTACTAAGTACTGATGTGACTCCTTTGAAGCCCTTACCCAGTGCTAATGGCCAGGATCTGCAGCAGGCGTGTGGAGGCCACCTTGAGGGCGGTGCTGAGCTGGGACACTCCGGGTTTCTGCAGCAGCTGGAGCGGCTGCCCCAGCATGGTCTCCGTCCCACAGAGCTGGGACAACACGTTGAGCAGCCCGCTAGAGATGGCCAGAGAGACGTCCACCGGCTGGTAGCGAACACTCAGTGCAAACACAGTCACCAGCAGGAGGCGCTGCTGGGCTTCTGAGATGGAGAAAGAAGAAGAGACAGCGAAAAAGGTATCAGACAGGCTGTTCCAAAAAAGCCTGGGTCTTAAGTATTTCTGTGTTTCAAGAAGATAGAACAACAGCATATACACTCGCAAATGAAGCTGCCAACTAAGAAGAACATTAAAGTAATAATCTCAAAGCTTTTTATTTAAATTAATGTCTGTTAATTCAATATCTGTCAACAAATGAGGTAACACAATTATTATGAATGATAATGCAACAGTTATTTTTGCAGTATCACATGAAGTAACATTTCTTACTGCTGCAGACAAAACACAACTCATTTTTATAAAATAGTGACAGGAAGTGCAATGTGTGTGTGTCAGTGAGAATCTCACTGTCATTCATCAAAAATAAGTCTACAAAACAAGGCAACGTCTTTTTCAGTATTTTCTGACAGCAGATCAGTTTGAAGTATTGCAGGGAGTAATTGAACAAGAAGGAGCAGCCACAGTGAGGTGTAAGATGAAGAGCTGCAGGCAACATGCTGCACCTTCAGTTTCTCAGCCACGTAACCAACTCCTTTCACTGCTGTTCACAGACTCATGTCGTGTACAACATAAAAGCTGTCACTCTCAGAACGATGGAAAAGGGACAATTATTGCCCCGAGAACTCTGGGACTTCTAGTATTAACCTGCATTTGCTGTTACCTATCACCGGTAACCACAGGTGTCACCAAATCAACCAGAAGTCTGACCACCTGAATAATTTGAGCTCAATAAATGATCCAGGTTCCATTAGTGTGGGTGTACAGTAGCAGTCTCTATTACCTATGTGGTGCTTGTTTGCCTGCAGTGCCCTCTCCAGTGTGACAGACAGTTGCTGGTAGATCTTATGAACAGCGGTCTGGATTTCCATCTGGATGCTCCTCTTAGCTGCTTTTACCCCATCCTGCAAGAAATATGTTCATACACAGTCGATACGGTTATTAATTATTCTTTTGTGAAAATGTATTAATGAAATGGAAGTGTCTGTTCACCAGGTGAGCAGCCTCGTACCTGATAGTGATGAAGCTGCACACTCTCTCTCTTCAGCCCTCCGGTGCCAACGGTGCCGAGGCCAAAGCAACCTGCCAGGAACTGCAACCTGACAGAGGTGAGCAGGGAGGAGGACTGGAAGGCACTGCTGGATCGATCTGCGTTCCCGGGCTGGCTGCCCTTCTCCTCCATGCCGGAGATCAACACCACAATCTGGTGGAGCGCCTCCAACCGCAGCTGGAGAGCCAAACACATCCCGGTTAGTCAAGTGGGTGTTTCGGTGTAACTCTTAGAGTGTATTTCTTCCAGATTTTTGGCAAAAATATGTTTCTATTTTCAGAAAATCAACAAAAAAAAGCCTCATTTGTTTGACCACTACATAGTTTTGGTTTAAAGGAAAAGTTTGGTGATATTTAATATTTTTCTTAATGGCTACAAATCCCAAGAAAAGACCAACAGTGAATGTAAAAACAGGACTGAGGGTCAGAGAACATTCTCAACTTCCAGTGAAGTAAAAAACATGAGCTTTTCAAAAGGACAACAATGTGATGATGAAGCAGAAAATCACTATATCCTCTCACGTCTGCTGTCAAATTAAATTAGCACTTTAACGTCATGTGGCACCACAGAAATAAGAGTGTTTTGTGACAGATGGAGACCCAGAACAGTCCTGAGAGAGTCCCTCACCTCTGCCCTGCTCTGTTGCTGTCCCATGGCGAGGATCGTTGCCTGTGGGCTGGTGGACATACTTTCTTCTGGCTCCTTGAAGGCTGGAGCCAGGCCCACGTCACCGCTCATGAAGCTGACCATGTTGTCAATGAGCGCGTGGACGCCCAGCGAGCGGCTCAAGTCCAGGTCTGACTCTTCATAGGAGTGCGCCGAGCTGTAGCTCCGCTGGCGGCTCAGCTTGGCCCGGAACCAGGACTCAGCCAGGGAGTCTGGGGAGCTGTGAAGTAAGCCTGAAAACCGGAGGAGAGGGAGAGGAGCCTTTCAGATTCATAAAGGCACAACGTAACTCTTCTGATGGATGGGCCATGTTGCTTTTAAGCTCTTAAGAGCTATGCAGTGCAATGCATTATTATTCTATAGGAGTTCATCGAATGGCCAAATGCTGATTCTTCATGCGGGCACAAGCCTTCATCAGCCATTATGAATTCATCTATAATGGGCGCACTGGGTTTCCAACCCACTGAGGGAGCTGAGGAGTGAAATGGTAACTGTTTCCATAGAACAACTGAAAGCACTAAAGTCAAAGTGTCAGTACTGATGATTTCTTTCAGAGTGAAACTGGTTCGTTCTTCAGAAGCGACGAGCCGCCATTGTGCAAAGTAACAAACATTCAAAGCAGAGGAATGAACTGTTATTTGTACAATAGGCACATCTGTATGTTTGTTAGTGCTGGGTGATACAGCGGGTGAACTGGGTTTAACTTCCTGTACAATATGAATGCTTTATACACCGTCATACACAGCTGGAACAACTCTTCAACAGGCAGCCATATTGTTTTTACAGCAGTTTTACAGCGCTACGGTCGGGAGAAAGTTAACTTTATAACAATTAATAAGCCACAACAAACTCTCTTAAACAGAGCAAAACACCATGGCACACAACAATTTGTTTCTGGTGCAACAGAACATTTGAGACCTTTGAATCATTAGCATCCCATAAAAACCTTGTTCACTACTCCAGTAAATCGGACAAACCATAGATACGACTTCACAACGGGAGACTCAGTTCCCTCTGCTTACTTCCCCACGAGCAACAGAGATAACGTTCTGCTGGCAAGATTAGAGTATCAACTAGCTAGCTATCAGCCATGTCACTGTCCCCAAATCAATATGGACATGTCATACATATTATATATATATATTATAGGGCTTATGTACTGACGGCTGCAGCCTGAAGTAGGAGAAATATTTTGTTTTCATTCAGTTTATTTCAGTGCATTAATTTAATTGACACCCTGCAGCCAATCAGAATAGAGTATTCATCCAGACTATGATATAAGACACTTAAACAGAGAGTAGAATAAACCACTATACCCTATAAAACCTGATATGCTGTGAAACCACCAGACTTCTGTGATACAGATTCATACCGCCCAGCACTAATGTTCCTGATTACTTCCTTGCCGTCTATGCATTAGCACACAGTAGAATATGAAGTGTCTCAAAGTAAATCTTAGAACAAGGCCCTCATCATGAGAGATGAATGGGGGGCATCGCAGTCATGGAGGTATGAGCTAACAAGAGGAAGAAACATGCCATCGTTTACTTGCTTGGAGCTCCTCTTGTGTTTGGGGCTCAACTGCCCCAAAAGAAGCAAATAAACTATCCACACAGGAACCAGAAGACAGAGAGACAAGAGTAACATATGATTGATGACAATGTAGAACTTGAATTATCCTTACTGGCAACATTAGACAGATCTTTCTGCAGATGGTCTTTACCTCTCTTTTTGTGAGAGAACGCCAAGTCCAGGTCGACATTTCTCCTTCCACTCTGAAAGACACAACAGAGACAAAGCCTGATCACGACCGCTGCTTCCCAATGTGGGGGTCCTGACACTCTCAAGGGGTCGCCAAAGCGAAACAGGTCGCAAGGCCTTCGTGATTTTAAGTGGTGTAAGAAAACTTTTTTTTTTTCTTTCTCAGTGGTCTGCCAAGGGTGTTGATATACTCAGGTTAGCAACGTGAACCTATCGGGTCCCGTGGGGTGTGGCTTTATTAACTTACTCTCTCCTTTCTCTTCTAGACGGGGGAGGTTGTACTCGAGGTTTAGTATCCTCTCCTGATTGTGAGTTATGCTCTAATGGGGCACATGTACTGGAACTGCCCAGGAGTAGTTTATTTCTGGAAAATAGTATCGACTTTATCTGACCTACTTAAATAGTTTATTACCCATGTTGGATAACAATAAAAAGTAGCTAACAAAGAACATATATACAATAGGCCTTTCATTAATTCATGAGAGGAAATTGTTATCTTAAAGTTTAGATGAAGTTATATTCACAGAGCTTTCACTCTCTGCTAAACAGCCTCGTCCTGCATGAGAAGTTATAACAACCAAAGAGCTGTGTCAGAGAGAACAAAACACAAACTTGTCAAAAAAGAAGCCTATTAAGCCCATTTAACAAATGAAAATAACAATATTTATAGGAAAATAGGAAATAATCTGCTAATATATATATAATATCTATAAAATATGTCACTTAATTTACTCAATGATAGAAAAGAGGTTGGGAACCACGTCACTTAATAACGCTCATGTCTTGGTATGCAGCTCATAAACACAAAAATACCAATGTGCTGAGACAGACGAGCACATTTATGTGTATGAGAGGTGTGTGTTGTACCAGAGTGTAACCCTCTTCGTCTGACTCAGGCTGGGAGAGGTCAGACTCGCTCCTGGACTTCATCAGTCTGTAGCTCGGGCTGCTCTGCACCGAACGGCTCTCTGCGCTCAGACTCTCACTCCTGCACACAAACACATCGCAGACACTAATTAATCATCTTTGTCACCAAACACTTTAAGAATATAACTCAACTTAGCAAGATATAAAAATGATTTTACCCCAAGAAGGTTACAAAAAGCCACCACTGCACCAAATCACCTCTAGTGTCTGATGCTATAAAAAAGGTAAAATATGTTCATCATGACAGATTGTACTGAGGCCCCTTGAAGCGAAAGGCATACCACGGTGGAGAGCTGTAACCAGATGCTATCAGGTTCAAGGTGCTTCAGGTGGAATGTGGAGCGTAAATATTCTGCAGCTTCACATGAAACTTGTTGAAACAAGTGAAAAGTAGGTTAAGAATTTCCAGGTGACCTCCAGAAGTCTGGTATCAGCAGAAATTCTGATCCAGACACACGTTCCCACGGTGGTCTGTGGGTGGACACGGCTCAATTATTCATGTAACGATACGTCAATAAAAGATATGGAGGTGAACAGTATAGTTTTATTACCATCATTAAGAAGTCCCTCCACAGATTTGTGGACTGGACACATTTTTAGGCAGTGGGTAGAAAGATATTTATAAAATATATCTAATCTAATTTTAGTGTGTTTTGTATTCTGAGCAATATTGGTTCAGATACTGGGGATATTAAATCTTCCTAATGGGACGCACTGAAGGCCAAATAGTCTTATTTCCATTATTAAAAACAAACATTATACACAAAAATCCTATACAATAGATGGATGAATAAATAATAAACTAATTTACATGGTGGGGTGCTGAGGATGAATAAGCCTGAGGGAAGAAGCTGAAACAGTGTCTTTTAAAACAACACTTTAAGTATGCACAATGAAAAAAGACTTTGGTTGCTGTAATGATTCTTCCTCTCGCTGTCGGCTGCAAGAGGATTCCTTTCCTGTAGTGATTTTAATGTTATACACTGGGAATAAAATCCATAGTCCTTGTTGTGTGCTACAGTAAGCGAAAGCTAATGAGAGGCCGCAGCAGTCTGAGTCAGCCAAATGTAAACGGCTAACTTCCAAAGTCTTTTTTAGTAAACTAATACCCAAATATTTGTTTTAATTGTATCTAGGTGGGCAGTGCTCTGACCTGGTCATGAAGCTCAGACACTCCTGTGTTCCTGTGGCGGACTGAGTCTGACCCTCCTCCTGGTTCTGCTTGGTCAGCTCTCCCAGCACCGGGCTCACCCCCAGCAACAGCAGGGCGCAGCGGTGGATCACAGAGTTACAGGCTGCGGTGTACAGGTCCTGGCCCTCTGGGAGACCCGTGCTGCCCCTCCTCCCCTCCTGCGACAGAATGGCGTCCTCCTCTCCGCCTCCACCGCCCCCGCTCCTGGAAACGGAGCCGGAGCCCAGCCCGGTGCTGCTGCTGGCCCGCTCTCTGTCCCGACTGCGAGCTACCTCCCGCGCTGAGAGGAAACATTGAAAGATTTCTGTGTTGTGCGAGATGCACATACACACACAAATCAAACACACAAACACACACAAGATGCCGGGTTAGAGGACAAGCAGCATCTACATAATATCCTCAAGGTTTACCGGAGCGGCAACAACCCAAGCCCAAGCCAATGCAACACACCAAAAAGCGCCGTCTACTGTCGCAGTCATCCTAGCAATGAATATTAGTAAAAGCACTTACAAATAACTTTAATGTATCTGTATTTCCATCGGTGTGACAGTGCGAAGGCCCTCGCATTACTTTAGCAAGAACTAGTCGATTAATCAAATTGTATTTTTCACATGTCGACTCCCAACGATTAGGAAAGATTAATGGAGATAAAACGATTATTGTGCTGCATTTCGTTTCACACTGATAATCTCGTTTTGCTTATTATTATTATAAATCATCACAATAATGATGAAAATATACTTCATAACTCATATTTATTGAGCCTTCAGCCAGGGTGGCGTGATCAGGATTAAGATTTGGGTTCCCTCTTGTCCCCTTGTTCAAAATAAATCAGGAAATCAAACTAGGACTGTACGCTTGTCTGACAGCTTTTTCAAGGCAAGCCATGTGAGGATATTTACGATTGTCACAATAAAGGAAATTAAATAAAAGTGTTTTTTTAACGCAATCCGCGATAATATCCCATGTTGTCTCATTCCTCTACAGCGGTCTACCTTCACTTTCACCAGAACCAAACAAACATGACAAAAACACTCAACAGGATACAGATCAAAGCAAATTAAGTACATATAATAATAATAAAATACTGTTTAATACATATAGTCATAAAGCAGAGAGGTGAATGAAAGAGAGCAGGCAGAATAAAAATGTAATTAAATCAAATTATATACCTAAATATTCCTAATGATTCGCTCACTGAAAGCATATGAACTGCAACTCCAGGCAGATGAACTTACTTCCAGCCGTCATTACTTCATGCTCCCTGTCCTCCTCTTCATCGTCTTGCTCCTGGTGACCCTCTTCTCTCTCGCGGTCGGCTCGCTCCTCCAGCTCTGCCTCCTCGTCGATGGTGCGTGTGAACGAGTGCTCCTGAGGGTCCATGTCCAGAGAGTCCTGATTGTCTGAAATCTGACCAAAGTGGAACCAAATGACATTTATGAGTGTTTGTGGAAATCCCTTTGAGTAAAGCATACTCTCTCAGACTGTAAAAAACAGGATGTTTCTGGGAATTGAGTCTTATTCTTTCTCTAAAAAAGAAAAATAATAATCCAGCATGTTCTGCATTAGAAATCTGGTTTTAGGAAAATATATCTGTGTCTTAATAAGATCTTACAGCTAAAAAATGATAAAAATAAGAATCTTCTGGTGCCTTAATTTAAGACAAAGTAACTAATTTCTATTCTATTGTTTGAAGAAATTGTGTCTTATTGTAAGATGCTTTTGCTAATTATTAGATTAAGGTACAAATTCTTAAATAAAGTGATCAAAATACTTATTTTAAGAATCTTAAATAACTGAGATTTCATTGTTTGTAATAACTTGCATTCACAAATCTGCTTATATAAGAATATCTGGTTTGTTTCTAGAAAGTCTGTTCTTGAAGTATCTAATTATAAAGGAAAACACTGAGAAGAAGTCTGAGAGACTAAAATTAGAGAATAATTAGAGTTGACATATAAATGTTGATTACTCACCCTTCTCTCACGCGAAGAAGATCTCGTCTGGATGAAATCCATATTCTTACAGGCCAGCAGGCGGTTTCGTACCTTATAAACACTGCGATAGACCTCTGCCAGGGACTTGGATGGTTGGTACCTGACGGGAAAATAAAGATATACTTGTGACATGTGATGTTTAATTTAGGCTGGTACTATAGAAACAGTGTGGAAACCGTTGATCCAACATATCATATATGTCCTGTTACAGTACCTGCCCTCGCCACAGCCTTGGCCCAGCAGTCCTGTGTGCTTCAGTAAGGCTGCCAACACAAACCTGGACACAGTGTCTAACAGGGACTCATTACTGAGAGACGCGTTGTCCCAATCTGCAACAGAATGCACAGTACAGTCAGTACACTGTCACTCACATTGAAAGAAAATGACTCTAGCATAGAGACAACAGAACTCATTATATGCCTAGTTTAAAGGTAGACCTTTGCTCATGGCGTAGTCCTGCATGTTGATCCAGAGGCTGTTGGCAGGTTCTTTAGAGGTACCCAGAGCCACATCCACCAAGACGCTCAAGTCAGGACGCAGTGTGCAGTCAAAAGGCTTCTGCTCCTCATTACCAGACAGCGCTGCCTCCAATAATGAGCTGATGCAGGCGTCTGAAAGACAGAGGTGAACAAACATCAAACAGCTCAACCAGTCGCAGAGGAAACAACAAATGAATAATGCCATAAAATTACATAAGTCAATTGGTCACGAGGCTCTGATGCAGGAGCTTTCCCCAGAGACGTTATTTCATCCCCTAAAAAGTTGCTGCTCTGAGGGTAGGACTTTCCAAAAGTACAGGAGCTCTGAGATGCAGTCAAATCAAGTTATATTTTATTTATACAGCCCAAAACCAGTTTTCCTCAGAAGGCTTTACAACCTGTACAACATTCAACACCCTCTTGTCCTTAGAGCCTTGATTTGGGTGAGGACCACACCCCAAAAAACCCCTTTAACAGGGCAGCACTGAATATATAGTTTGTTTTTTGTTCACTGTATTTCAACACATCAACATGGAGTTATAGAAGAAAGCTGACATAGATGACAAATAGTATAGTTGCATCAAAAAACTGGGTAAAAACATACGTCAATTTTTCAGTCAGCAGACTAATTTGTCTAATATTTACAGGTCTTTAGACTGTAGTGGAAACACAGACAACAATGGGCTGAAGGAATCTGTTAGCTCCTTGAAAAGTAGTTCCTGGAAATAGTTTTACTATACGGTATGTGTTCTCTTCCTACCCAGCTGTGGGATTTCCATTTCCAAGCCGTTGCTGAAGAGGGGCGTTTTGAGCCAGTAAGCAGTATCCTGTTCCTCCAGCGAGGTCGAAGCTCCCTGCAGCATCCCACCGAGGCAACGGCCTACCAGCAGGGCAACTGTCCTCTCCAGATCAACGAGCCACACCCAGGAGAGCGCCGGCGGCGGCAAGGACATGCCCGAGGCTGGCTCAGCAAAGTCAGAGGTACCTGGAATGTTAGAAAAGGTGTAGTGGAAGGACAAGGGAAAATGAAGTGGTGGTAGCGGTACAATTTTTTATTTGTACAGTAAAAATGTGAAGGAAGACAAAAGAAATATCACATTTCACATTTGATAGACAGGTGGTTCGTCCAATCACCTGCCGAGAATTTTTTGAAAGTGCCAGCAGTTTTCCAAACAGTTTCCAACAATAACTTCTTATCTGGTGCAGTCAGGTTAAACTTCAAGTCACAAACCAAAAAGTCTTGAGGACAATAGGACAAATGCTTAAATTAAGATGCTAAAACTTTGAGTAGAGCGAGTGCAGCTGACCTGGCTCGGTACAGTCTATATTGAGTTTACAGTATATCGGATTGTTATCCTTAAATCTGCTCACACAGACATTAAAGAAACTGAATGGATTTTGGAAGGAATAAATTCCATCTAAAGGTATCCAAACGAAATTAATTCAGCCAATTTTTCAATCAAAAGACCACAAACAACATACATTATTGTGTAGTAAAGGGTTTTCTCTGTGCTCACCATGAAGAGGCCACTGCAGCTCCTGGTCCTCCAGAGGGGAGGCAGCAGGCAGCAGTCTGTTGAGGCGGTCCAAAGGAGGCAGCAGGTCCAGCAGGTGACTGAGCAGAGGCCTCGCCACAGACACCGGTAGCAGCAGCAAGGAGTTTATTATCTGGCACAGCATGCTGCCTGCAGCTGACACGTAGATCACATCTGGAGATGATAGAGACATGATCAGTATTTTGAGTTTTAAATCAATGGTCATTTCTGTTCACTGTGAAAAAATCATCCTATTGTTTAAAATATATAACCTAAATCATTTCTTTTATGTAGTTTAAACTACACACTCCTTGACTTAGTAGCATGAGGTAAAATGGTAAAATGTGAAAAAGCTAAACAAACAAAGAAGTTAAAATTCTTAGAAAGATCAATTTAAAAGGAGAAGTAATGAAAGTGTTTTATGATGAAACAACAAAAGTAAACAAGAGGAGGATAAGAGGATCAACAGGCTGAGGACAAGATAAGAGAGCAAGAGCGTTTCAGCCTCGGTTGATCCTCAGAGATTGGTTGATCCTCTTCACCTTGTAGCTTCTCTCGTATGCTGCCGTTCCAGGAACTCTCCTTTATCAGAGTGGCTGAGCGGGAGAAGATATCTGTGGCGTGAGGCAGCAGGAGCTGCAGGTGCTTGTGGAGTAAAGCCACACTGCTGGAGTTCTGCACAAAAACATGAAGATCATCATGTTTTAGAACTCACTTGCCAATAATGAAAGAAAAATGAGAATCATGTCTCTCTGGTGATTGTTAAAGGTGGGACAGCAACTCTAGGGAATAGCTGTCATTAGTGATAGGCCGATTAATCGTGTCTGATTATCTGGCATCGGTCGATGTCTGTGCTCACATGACCGATAAACAAAAAACCTCTTCAGACACATCTGCAGGCAGATTCGTCAGTGTGGCTGCTGTGGAAATATATTAGTGCTCCCCTTTTGAGCCCTGTACTGTGACTCGCATTCATTCTGCTGTAAACAGGTGCCTGAATTTCCTATTTCCTATGACTTTACTTTGTTTTGATATCGGCCATCGGCCACTGACAAACCCAGATCAGTTGACCACTGAAAGTCACTAGGAAGATAATGAAAATACACACTTATGAAACAGGGGTTTATAAATATGTACGGACACTGACACTGACTCATTTAGTCACGAATTGGCTCAAGTGCAGCCAGTTTGCGTCATGCATCAGGTATAAAAACTGTTGAGTGTTTTCTTTGAAGATAAGCAGTTTAATGTCATTTTACGCCTCATTAACAAGACCATGTGAGTTCTGAAGTAAATAACTTCAACAAATTGACCCTCATGGTGCATATCTGCCTTTCAAGTTTATTTAATCCGAACCATTATGTTGTAACCAGTGTGGCAAGAAGCCATCACTCACATGACCCTAATGGCACCGGACCAACAACTTTAAATAACTACATGAAGACTGTGTAAACGCTATTTTGTTCATAATAAAACTGTCATGTGTAGAAGAGAGTGAGTAAGTTTGAACAGGCTGCAGTTGAACAAACACAGGAGAGCGTCCGTACCTCAGTGACAGAGTTGATGTGGCAGTATGCTAACAGTTGCTTCTGCAGGGAGCACAGGAGCTGGTGGAGGTGAGCCGGTTGGCTGCTGTCAGAGGAGGACGTGCCCTGCTGCAGCTTATCACTGTTCTTCTCCAGCTCCCCAAATGCCTGATCCTGCACAACACACACACACACAAGCACATAAATCAGACTACAGGGCCACAGGTATCACAAGATCTTCTACAAAGTTAATTTAGTAATATACATGTGCAGATGAAATAGCTTTAACTGTAAATGGACTCATTTGGTGCTCATGGTTTCTATAAAATGAACTTAGACTGAATTGTGGAGAATCTAACTGATGTAACGATGTGCAGCATTTATATTTGTGTAGACGATCTAAGGAGCGTAGAACTCGGTAAAGTACACTGTATTGGATTTATACATCCAAAGAACTTACATAAAATCCAGACCAGGCCTCTAATTGAGACCTGCCTCTAATTGAGACCCTGCGTTTAACTGAAGTTTTACCGAACCTGGTTTGTTTCTGTTTATTTGAATTATAACTTACAAATTCTATTAATATAACAGGAGTGGAACTTGTTCTACTACAAAGCCAATTAGCTCATTTTAGAGGCTGGAAATAACATTAAACCTTCTTTATGAGATCCATAGAATCATTACTTTGTTCCAGCCCCTATTTTTGTAATCTGGATTCTTGACATCTTTACATTTAGACCACCAAAATCTTATTTGTTCCAAGTCTGGTTTTTATTTAATTATATTTCTTTATCTAGATGTGTTTTTTTTTCCATCTGTTTCCCCAAAACAGAGAACAGAGCTCTGTAGATAAAGAAATGTGTAAAGGAAAAATACAGCAAGAGGCAATGAATCCAAAAGAGGTGAGTGAAAAGCAGAAAGCCTTGCAGTCTAATCACCATTCATTGCTCAGACCTGCATAATCACACACACAGCCTGTGCGTGTGTGTGTGTGTGTGTGTGTGTGTGTGCGCGCGCTACAATCAATAAAACGCAGCCTTTAGAGAGCGAGGCACAGGAACAAGCCGCTGCTGTGCCAGGAAAAAAGTCAGCAGGTGATAATAACAAAGGATTATATATGACTCATGCTCTGCCTCCAGCTCTCCAACACGGAGAGGAGCGAGGGAGCTGCAGAGACATGGAACAATGGCGCTCGATATGTTGACTTCACTGATGACTTCCTTCCTGAGTAAACTCTGCTTTTGTCAGTTCTAAATAGATCATAATGATGCCGCAAGTAATGGTTTGTTATTGAATCACACACGCACTGAAATCAATAAGAGCGCACTCTCTGATAGAGTCGCACCAGACGTCATCCAGCAGCTACTTACAGTATAAAAGCCGAGGTTCCTGAGCAGCGTCTTCATGAGGATCTCAGCCAGGTGGGTGTCGGGGTGGCCCGCTGTGGCGCTGTACGTGGGGTCTGGGGAAGCTGTGAAGCCCGGGCCAGATGGAAGCACCTCGGGGCCGTCTGCAGGAGAGCTGTAGCCCAGCAGCGAGGCTACGTGGGTGTGGTCCTGCAGACTGGTCAGGATGATGTCGAGCTGCATCCTCTGCGGCACAAACACACACATTTCAGTAAGACCGATGGAAAACATGACAGAAGCAAACAACAGTACTTGATGTTGAACTTCTTGGTACTGTGGGTTCAAACTTAGGTCAGTCATCAGATGCTTATTTCATTTAGAGTTCAGTAATCCAGAAAATAAGGCCAACGTACGGGCAGTCAACAAGTTGGACCAATGAGAGAAGTTGACCCTCGGCTGGGGTTATCACGGCCCTCACAAACAGCTGATAGTACTTCTGTTCCTTCATTGTTTTCCTTTCTGATGTGATTTTATTTCAGGGAAAAGATTTAAAGTGTTTTCATTGTTAACTGCACATTTTCAATAACAGCATTGAAGCCTGTAGAAGGAATATAAACCAGGGTTTCTGCAGGTTTCAACAAGTCTAATTTATGACATTTTAAGACCATTTAAGACCTATTTCATGTCCATACTGGATTGGTATGGCTTCCATGACTGGAGTTAATGCGACTTCATTAAGACTTGTCAAAGTCATTTTTAAGACATTTTATGGCCAAAAATACAGATTGAGTTTTGGACTTTTTTAAAGGACCAACAGAAACTCTAATTCGCTCTCAGTGAGAAGATCTGATTATATCTGTCCATTAAATATCAAACTACAGCGGGTAGCTGGAAAAAGATAAGCTAAGCAGCTAAAACTTTAACAAACATACAAGTTTTAGGTTCTTAATCTTTAACTGTTGTGTAAAGCTCTGAGCAGTAAAGCCACAAATAGTTTGTGTATTTATTTATTTATACATTTTAAACTATTTTCTTACTCTGTTTATCTATTTGTACATCTGACTCAGTTTTATTTAATATATCCTTTTCCTATTCTGAGTTTTCCTCTTTTTCTAATTCTGCCTCAAGTGTTTCCTCAGTGCAACTTTTAATTGAGTGTTTTATAGATCACAAAAACATTAATCACTTTGTGTGTGTGTGTGTGGTTGGTGGGGGGAGTTGAAGGTTCGCTACAACTTCTATTTCAAAGTCCACAAGAATTAAAATCTAAAGCAGTTCCTGGAAAGCAGCTGCCTCCAAATGTTGAGGTCAAAGGAATTGTGGAGAGGTTTTAATGTTGGACTCCCGAGCAGGCATTAACACTGGGAACACTGCGTCCCCTCCACACTGATTTCCTGTTGTTGAAATGCATATTGGGGGAGATTGTTAAAAACTGTGTGTCTGTAAGAGACCACTCAGAAGATTCAAACAGAGCTTTTTACTCTGCCCACACAGCCGACCACACAAAGTGACCCATTAACCAAACAGCTCACGGTGTAAAAGCTGCACTCGCCATCCATCACTAACCTGACCCTACTTTCAAACTCTTTCAGTCTACGAGCAGCAACAAATGAGGCACTGGTTAAGGGACACACACCTTAGGTACGTTCAGTTATACCGGTGGCATTTAACCCGGAGGTTGTGACCTAATCTTAATGGGTAACAATAACATTAATGGGAGAAGAAAAAACTATGTCTACTATAGAAACGCATACAAAAGTGTTTAAATTAGTTGCTCAGTTTTCAGGCTCTACGTCTCCACTGATTCTCACAGAATAAATCTACATCCTAAAATAGAAAATCATGCTTTAATTCACAGGTTAAGGGACCCCGTTTCTATCATTAAACTGACATATTTTATGGATATTTTACATCCTATTGAATGCCAAACAATAACAGAACAGAACTGATAAACCAATTTACAAACTTAACACTATTAATAACTGCAAGTTTGTGTAAAACGAGCGATTTGGATGAATTTTGAGGAGGTTTATTTCCTGTGAATATTACATCAGAGATCAGTTTTAGTGATATTTAAAGTAACTTTTTATACAAATTTTAAAATGTTTAGATTAGATAATCATACATTTATCAGAGTGAAGGCTTTGTGAATACAGCTTGTGTTCAGGTCTTCACTGTGCCCTTATGCTGGGAGATATTTTTTAAAGTTTAGATCTATAATAATCTAAACTTTAAAAAATAACAATTTAATTTAGTTTTCTACCTACTGTATATATTAAACGTTTTAATACACCCCTTAGAATCAAGAAGGCCTTGCAACCAGCCGTGTAGCTTTGCCGACCCCTAGTGGAGGTCCCGCCCTCCAGGTTGGGAACCACTGCTTTAACTGATGGACCCTAACGAGCGTTCATTACAGGCTGGTTGTCACAGCTTCAGTGTGTTAGCTAGCGTAGCGTACCTGTCCTTTGGAGAGACTCTCCCATCTGTCGGGGCCCTGAGGCAACAAGGAGTGAAGCAGCTCCATCCTCTCTCTCAGTGGAGGCAGCAGCATGGTCGCCCCCACAGACAGAGTCTCAATCACCGCCTGATGGGACAAACACACACCCACATATTGTCACCGCCCCGGGAGATGTAACAGATTAAGAACTTGTTGACATTTTGAAGAAATTGCTGTCATCATTTCCTCAAAAAGGGAACAGTGTGTTTTTCACAGTGTATCAATAAATATATTCCACAGTGATTACAATCACTTTTTTGTCTGGATACACAAAGAACTGCCAACGAGTGATGATTCACAGTGAAATGTTCAAAATAATAAAGCTTTAATTATTTGTTTAAAAGAAAAATATAATCATGGTTTGTAGGAAACAATGTGCTCAGTTTGAATGTATGATAGAGATTATTTTCATCACTGATTAATCTGTTCAATAAGTTATTTGGGCCAATAGAATATCAGAAAAAGGGGAAAATGTTGATCATTGTTTCCCAAAGCCCAAGGTAACATCCTCCAATGTCTTTTTTTGTCCACAACCCAAAGATATTCAGTTTACTGTCGTAGAGAACTAAAGGTTTGTGGTAAACTAAATATCTTTGTCACCTTGGGCTTCACTATTTTCTGACATTTTTAGACTAAATAATTAAACGTTTAGTAGGAAAATAATTGTTAGTTGCAGCCCCATATATATATATCTAAGTGAGTCATGTAAAGTGGATCACCAGTTTAGTCTCTTCATCACTCTGGAAAACTTTTTTTTTTTTTACACAGTGACATATTTTATTGTGCTTCATTGTTTATTTTGGTCTCATTTTATGATTCCCCCCATTGATTAACTGTGCCTCTACTTGTCTCTCACCTCCTGAATCTCATCTGGCACGGAGGAGTCCATCAGTCTGAAGAGCAGGTTCCTCAGGGGCCTGGCCTGCCGACCTAAGATACTGGTGGCCACGCCCCCGGCCAGCGCCAGAGCCAGATGATTGGACAAAAGTCGAAGGCACAGCTTGAGGAAGTTATGATGCTCCCTGCAAATACATACAATATATTATATTTATATATATATATATATATAAATATTTATTATTTGACACCAAGCTACAATTAACAGATGCATGAGGGACTATTTCTTCCACAGGCTGTGTGTGCTCACCGGGATGAGGGGAACGGGAGAGGAGGAACTTCACTGTTGATGCCGTCACAGTAGCGCTCGAGGAAAGAGCGCAGGTGGGAGAAGGTACTTTCTTCCAGGTCGACACAGTAGGGCCTGTGCCACGCCACCACTTGCCTAGAGAGCAGAAGTGAGTTAATATTAACAAGTGGTCTAGTGCAGGGGGTCAGCAACCTTTACTTTCAAAAAACCAGCAAAAGAAATCTGTCTGGAGCCGCAAAACACATCTGAGCCTGAATTATAACGCTAATATAGGCTATAAAAACTATATATATATAAAACACAGTACTGGAAGGATACAGTTTATATTTATATTGAAGCAGTTGTTAAGTTAATGTCAATGCACCTCCACACCAACACGGTCATACAATATGTGCTATACTACACACACACTTTTACACACAAATCCTCTTTTTATATGGAATATTAATATATAGTATTAATGCACTTAGTATGTATCATTAATAACATTAATATAGCATATTTATATATAATTTTGTATATTGTACATTTTGGTACTGCATTTTAATAGTGATACGTCTCATACCCCTGCATACACTTCACATATTTATATAGTTATATTTATTTCAGTCCATTTTTAATTTTTATTGGGGTATTTTTTTATCTTCATATGAGTAGTGCTTTTATTGTCTCTTCTCATCCAACACATTTCACTGTATCATTGACCCTGTGTTAACCTACATATGACCAATAAAACTGAACTGAACTGATCCTCTCCTCTCTTGGTAGTTTGTGCCATGCAAATACTTAACTCAACTGATCATTTGGCCTCATTAAATCCACTTCCAACCCAAGATGTAACACAGGCTCTCTGTTAAATCCTTTTAGTCTTCAACTGGACTTTATGTGTAAAATCTGTGGAGCGCCCTGAAACCAGCAAACCGTGTTCATTCTATGAATATGCTTATATTTTAATAATGAACGGCGCTCTGCCAGGGTTAAATAATGCAGACTTTATTTCCTCTAAGCACTGCATGTTAAAATAAATGTTTTATCTTATCACTCTATCACTGTATATGTAATGTTATGTTGCAATATTGATATACATATAATATGATGTTGTACTTTTGGAAGTAAGTTCAGAAGCTTTTACCAGATAATACCAGATAATTGACAAAATATGGCAAATTTATGTCTAAAAAACAAACAAAAAACACTCCACTTTCATCTAAAAACTGCCCGACTTCTACCTCTACCTCCAACCTTATAGGAATAATTACATATATAAACATGCACTGCTGTGGTCCTCTCTCTGAACTACAACCTCACTGTATGTTTCAGCACAGTCAGCCCACTGATATGATCCTAACAGTCTTGTGTAGATATTTGTAACACAGAAGGGAGAAAAACTGCTGTACATTCAACATGCAGTTACCAACCTTTGACTTACATTATGCAATCCCTATTCAGCACAGAAGTCCAGGAGTGTTGTGACATGAGCACTCGCCCTCCCTCCCTCCCACCCCCTCACCCCCACTATGTGAAGTCTTCCTGTGAAACCCAGGTTACGGTCAAAGTCGGTGTATGCGCTCTGATGGTAGCTGACCTGTCTCTGGGCAGGGCCGTCCACGCCAGGCTGTGGGAAGTGCCGGCTGAGATCTGCTGAATAGCGACTCCATCCAACCCGACGACCTTCTTAGGCTTGGTGATCGGCCCTGTGGAGTTCCCCTGGCCGCACTGGCCCATGGAGTTGTTGCCCCACGCATACACTTCATTGTCTGAAAGGGTGTGTTGAGCAGAAGTAAAGCAATATTAGATGCAATATTAGATATATGGCTGTGATCGTTTTGTGATTGCACATGAAATCACACTGAATATTAATGAGGCACAATTTGTACGCTGAGGGTTAAGTTAAGAATTAGCTTAAACAAATTTGGTCTGTGTGTTTGCTATTACATCGTGCTACTTGCGACAGCTGTGTCACGTTTAACAAACAAAATCTAACAGAGTCTGCAGAGAAACCTGGGACTGACAGAAGCAGCAGGTTTAGGATGGACTGCTGCAGCACCAGTTGTTTATGGTTAACCATCTAAAGATAAGCTGTCCAAAAGATAGAGAAAGGAAGAGACAAGTACCGTGCGACAAGGCCAGGCAGTGACTGTCCCCTATGGAGATGTCCACCACCCTGGTGGTAGCCAGCTCCTCGATTAGTTTGGGTCTGAGAGCTGTGGCCTCCGAAGAGCCACATCCCAGGCAAGCACCACAGCCCCAAGCATACACCTAAACAAAAGTGACATCAATCAAATCAAGTTTATATATATAACATGTTTAAAACAACAAGTGTAGACCAGAGAGCTGTGCAAATTATAGTGCCCATCAAAATGACATTGAAAAGGAAGATTAACAACATTAATGGTAATTAGCCCAAAAACAGGCAATTATTGATATATTCATACATGCTGGTGTGCTGCAGAAGACCATTAAATCAGCAAATATAAGTGACAAAACAACCTGCAATGGCTGATATACATACACACACGTACACACACGTACACATACTAGGGATAGACTGATTATCAATGTAGCCGCCTCGTTATTTTTTTTTTTATCCGATTGCGGATACAATAAATTACAGATGTTCCGATATCATTTTTTCTTTACAGATACCGATTCTGATACCTGAACTGAGCATATCAATTAATGTGAATCTGCAAAGTAACTAGTAACAACAGTTATTAAATTATTAAATATATTAAATGTGTAAATATGAAACAGAATGAACAGAAAAACGATATAAAAAAACGAGAGATTATAAAAAACTAAAACCAGAGGAACCAAAGGCCAAATCCACATTAGCAGATATGATTTCTTCACATTCACATCATTTACTTTCGGTCCTTTCTCCAGACAGAAACTATCCTGATGAGAACAGACTGAGAGTGTCTTTGAGACAAAGCCATGAAAGAAGAGCTGAGTTACGTAACAAGTCGTGACCTTAAAATATATTACTGTCAATGTCCAAACAGCTGTCGTTAGGAATGCTTAAACAGCTGCGTGAAACTCCTTCTTTGGGACAAATGTTCAAGAACTTCAAGGCTCCGCTTTTCCTCAACAAACCGCGGCTGTGACTGTGTCTCAGTTAACAATGCAGGAATCGTGTCCTACCTGTCCGGTAGAGGTTAAGGCGAGAGACGACTGGCTTCCTGCACACACTTTCCTGATGAACATCCCTTGCAGGGCCTCCACTACTTTTGGCTTGTAGACTCGATTAGTATCACCGTGACCTAGTTTTCCTGCAGGACAACAAGTTTTTTCTTCAGACTGATTCATTTACAGTATGAGCATTTAGTGACGTGCAACAGTTTGGCATTTTGACACACACATCCAATAAAATTTATTATTTTTTTTAAATTGGACAAGGCCCTTCAAACCACAAGTTTACATCAATTTATTGAATTAACTGTAATATGAAACATTAACGAAACAGTTAATCATGGTGAAGGGTAACACACCGTTGTCTCCTCCTCCAAAGGACCACACAGTGCGTCCATCCTTTGACAGTGCAATAGTATGAGAGCTACCACACGACACCTCTCCCACGTTGCTGATGTCTTTAACCAGGGTAGGAATGTTTCGGCTGTTGCTGTCACCATGACCTGCAATCCCAAACAATGAAACAGTATCTGGCATATATCGTCTTGTATGATGCGTTCAGTGTAAGTAGGAATGAGGATTAACGTGCCTCCAATACACAGCAGGATTGAGGGAGTTGTATGTTGTAAAGATTGTATATTCCCTCTGAAGCTAATCTGTAATTTTGAGCTAAATACATAAAACTGACAATATATGCTTCATATTTGTCCAGACAGCCTTGAAAAGGGTCCTGAGTTTGAGAAATCTGGTGCAAACACCGTAAATGTGAACGTCAGAAGTAAAAAGCTAATTAAAATCTACAAGTTATCTACTAGTGAGCAGGTAAGTCTGTGTTCATTGTGCCGACATTTAGTCTCATTTGGCCAGCTTTCTTCAAGACACATAAAAGTTTTAAAATCCACAGGTGGGGTATTTACTGATGTATTTTTAAGTGTTTGAAAGCACGGGAGATTTCCTTTCCATTTTAGGATAAATGAGTTACTTACCTAATCTTCCAAAATCTCCTTCGCCCCACGTGTACAGCTCTCCGTCCTCACTGACTGCAGCACTGTGTCTGTAGCCAGCAGACACACACACCACCACCTGACACACAACCAAAGTCATACACATTAATCGTACTTCATTAATATTAGTACACACACAAGCAAGAAGATATTCACCTTGCATACTTTAAAAACAGGAGGCATATCAAAGCAATCAGCTATAAGAAACTCATAAAAATGAATCTACATCTGCAAAAATATTTCACCGAGTGAAGGAGGAAACGATGGTCACATCTCTACTCGCTGCTGCTTTAAAGGTTATATATACACACGAGATTTATAACATAAATATAGCAACAAACAACTATTTGCTATGTGAAGACATATTAGAGTCATGGTGTCCTGAGCAGACAATGATGACACACTCCCTCTGCCTGTGTTGTTATCACAGCCTCTCTGTGGTTTGTTTACAAATCCAGTCTCGCCGTGCATGTTGGAGCCTGTGAGTCCCTCCGTTTCCAACCGAGTACAGGGAAACTGCTGGATTTTTATCTACGTCAATGAATTAAGGATTTATTTCCACCAAACCAGAGCTGGTGGTTGTTGGAACAGTAGAAAGAGTTTATGATTATCTGTTAAAATAACTGCTTTTGTCAGTGGAGTCTGGTGGGCTGTAGTGCCCATTGTTTGGGTCTGAGATACTGTTGCTCTAGTGCGACATCTCGTGTGTGTATATATATATATATATATATATATAAAAACCTTTTAATGTATCTAAAAGAATAAAAAGTTGGAATGTGTCAATAAAATACCATGTGTCAAGTTGTGCTCAAATGCTGGATGAAACCCTACCTTCCCCTGCAGTGGCCCTTGGATAAGTTTAGGGTATTTCTGTGTTGAGCTGTTCCCGTGACCCAGTTTGCCATAATCACCGTCACCCCAGCTGAACACCTCACCCTCCGTAGTGAAGGCCAGCGTGTGGCCATCTGAGCCCTTGGACGACGACACCTTCTTGATTGCGCGGTGGGGTTCGAAGGTCAGCTTCTTGAGCGTTGACTGGTTGTTAGAGTCCCCGAGGCCCAAGCGGCCGTAGCTGCCCTTCCCGCAGGCCCGAACAGAGCCATCGGAGGAGATCACAAACGTGCAGTACTGACCTGCCTCAATCTGCAGAGAAATGAGGAAAAGATGTTTGTGTGCAGTGAAAAGACTGCAGACTGACTCAGCATTCTCACACACCGCTGTCACTGAGTGAGGCTAAAATGTGAAGGACTCCAGTATATCATAAGACACCGTACCATATGACCCACCAGCCATATTTCTGATCATTTCATTTCCTGCATATTTTTATGATTTGTCTCTCTGTCTACATATATATAGCATCAGCACATTAGGAAAAAATATTTTGTGCAACCTCACTCTACAGAAATGCTTCAAAAGGCACAGTGCACATCAATAACCAGAAGATTGTGAATTATCTGTTCTCATCACAATTAGGTTTCCTTTCACTCTTAACAGAAAAAAAACCAACACTGTAGCAGAGAAATAAAAATCTCGACGCTGTCTGTTCCTCCATCTGAAAGAGCACTCTGTCTCAGGCTCTATCTAACAAACACAGTATATCACATTGCTTTGATCTACAGCTGTAGCGTCCCTGCAGGAGAACCAGTGAAATCTGAATTTGAATGCATTATCATCATGTCACCACGTCTATGTAACATCACTGATCAGTGTAATTCATGCCTTGAGGGAAAAAGTATTCTCCATTTAAAAGTCAACAGCCCATTTGCCAAAACCTAGCAAAATGAATTTTGAAACTCATGACAGTTATCTTCTTCTTATGACGAATACAGGATAACAGATGTTTCCTCTCTTAACTCGCAGCTCTGCAGCAGACGTGTGAAACTGCTCTCTCTCTCTCTCTCTTACCGTCTGTGCATCCGCAAAGCTGGCGGCCAACTTGGGCTGCAGGATCTTCTCCTGTGTGCCCTCCACGAGCTGGTGGCTGCTGTTACTGCCCCACACATAAACCTCGCAGGTTTCAGACACCACGGGTGCCTCGCCAGTCTGTATGCTGTCGGGACTGACACACGTGCGAGAGTAGTCTGATGCCATTCGACATACCTGGAAGAAAAAGACATGATTAGACCTGTGTACTCTCTTTGAAATAAAAAGAATTTGTGTTTAGTTTTTTCCCCGTGAAACAAATTGACTTATTTATCGACTCCTTCTCCGTCTAAGGTAGCAGTAAGCAGGGGCGTGTCCAGAGGCTGTAGCACTGTCTTTCAGAGGCAGAGGTTTTAAAGCTAGTGAAGATACTGGTATCATATGAAACTGTTGTGACTTTGAGGAAATTAATTATATTAATTTTCAAAATTAACCCTCTAGTTGATAGTTAATATCCACAGTTTTCAAAACACGAAGCAGTGACCTGTATGACAGCTCTGCACAAGATCTGAAAGAAAGTCACGACTTCATCATCTTGGGGGAAAATAACGACTCTTTTACTTGTTAGCAGCTTCCTGTTTCTAATTGGCTAATAAATTACATGACATGGAGCATTGATTTGTGTCCTGGCTGATACCTCATGCAGTATTTTAGACCGTATTTGAGGCATTTCAAAAACTAGAACCACCCTAATAATGATTCATATAGTGTATGAAATATGAAAATAAAATACTTACTTCTTCAAAAAGACAGAGTGCCGCCTCGTACAATGAGCAGAGGCCATCAGAGGTCCGCGTGGGTTCTCGCCACTGGCTGCGATCTGCTGAGGAGCCCTGAGACAATCACACACACACAAATCAATGATTACATGAACCAATATCAACATTCCACTCAATACTAAAGAAAGAAACATTCAGATGCAATTATAACTACTGTATGACCTTGCACAACACATTTTAGAGAACCAAAAATATATATTTTTTAAAGTTGTGATGAATTAATTTTGTTGGTTGTTGTCCACTGTTTCCAGTTTTCCACATGAGTAAAATCAGGTTGAATGTCTAATTTAATACTCAACAGAAGGAGCATTTTGAGAGCTCAGAGCAATAAGAAGCTGAGTAATTAAACCACTAAAAATAACTTCCCATCAACATCCGTCAGTGTTGCTACTGTTTACTTACCAAAGAGCGTCTCATCTGCATCAGGATGTTCATGAAACAATCATAGCCGATGAGGCCCTCTTGGTTCTGTAGCACCTTATTCTCCTCCATAGTACTGACCACAGCTGATGCAGCCAAGGCCATCTCGATCCACTCCAGCAAGTAGCGCAGGGAGCCCCTCTGGGAAGCTAGCCCGAGCAGTAGCTCTGACGCAAGACGACGCCCTAAAATATCCGCCCCAGAGTTTGGCATGGTCACTCCCTTCAGGAAAGTGGTGACCTGGGCCAGGCAGTCCAGGCCCATCGGTGGGATCTTGCTCTCGTTGGCCAGAGAGAGGGGTGGCAGGGAGCTAACCACATCGATGGCTGTGTGAATGACATCATTACACAAGTTTATGTTGCCCCCAGGACCTCCGCCGGGGCTAGGCGGAGGAGGCATCATCCAGCTCTGGCGCAGCAGAGCAAAAAGAAGGCTGAGGCCCGTGCGAACACCCATCTCAATGAGGGCGTCGGTGCTGGAGCGGGGCCGCTCGCTGACAGAGTGCAGGTCAGCTGAACCCGAGTTGTTCTCTGGAGAGTGCGGCTGCTGCTTGACCTTTCCCTTGTCGTGGTACTTGTTGGACAGTGCGTAGAAGATGCGCTGGAGAACCAGCACACGTTTGCGCAGGGCCGCAGCGAAGGGAGAGTCAGAGCAGACCATCTTGGCCAAGGCCAACTGGCTGCTGAGCAGAGCATCCAGGTAGTGCTCCTGCTCATCGCTGGAGAGGGACTCGCGCTCAAAGTCTGGGAGCTGGGGGCCCTTCAGACACAGCACCTGCTGGGGCAGCAGCACTGCCTCTTTGTTGACCAGCAGCTTTGAGTAGAGCACCGATACTCCCTCCCGTGTGGCTATGGACTCGCTGTCCTCCGTGATCCATGAGCTGTTTAGGTGCTCCAGCCATTTCAGTTTCACCGGGGGGATCATTAAAGCCATGGCATGTCACTCTGGAGCCATCAGTCCTGGAAACATTTAATCATCATACAAAATGTTAATGTCACGATTGTGAACTGCAAAACAATTCTTTCCTCAAAGGCCCACATGCTGAAAAACAAGCAGCTTGATGGTTTCCAGTTTGCAAAGTTCTTCTTGGCACCAACCAGTTGTGTATAATGGCAAGAATCTGGCAATATGTCCTGATACAGGGGTTCAATATATTGGGATATTTTGTGATACTGTGATTGCAACTTTTTAGGAAATGTGTTATATTATAAAAGAACAAACGACTATTACACATCCAATCTTAGTAAGACATCAGTTTACAACACATTTAGGGGGTTTAAACACAAAAAACAAACTAAATATTGTCGTACACAAAGGCAATATCAGTATAAAAACAACGAGAAACAGGAGCAGCATCAGGTTGGGGATTGTTGAGACATTTTTATCATTTAAATATATATTTGTTATGCTACTCCCCTTTAACATCTACAGCAAATTGGTGTCACATAAGTGCACAAAGGCAACACTGTGTATAGAAGTAAACAGGCCTTACTGAACTGAAGAGTGATGTAATCATTAAAGGGTCATTTCACTGAAACATGAAATTTGATTTATTCCACGTAGGAGCAGGTCTGTGAAGTGCTGAGTCATGTGCTAACTCATGCTTTCTTACTATCAGAGTACGTTACAGCAGCGAGGTGCAAGGTTGAGCGGTGTTAGAGGACTTGGATGAAAAGAATGAAAAAAAAATATTAACGCTGAAAGTGTTCACTGTTTCAGTTGTTGGACATTTGACTCTTAAACCCACCCTGTGTATACAGTATTCATTACATTAATGCACCCCCCGTCTTCTGCACAGTTTTCTTTTCTTATCTTTATCTATTTATATTTTGAAAGTACTTAATTTACTGTGTGATTTTTGTGTGATTTGTATATTTTATTGCACCAATTGCACCAGGACACATTCCTCATAGGCGTAAAAACCTGCTTGGCAATAAACAAAAATCAATAAAAGATTCGGATTCTGATAAAAATACATCAACAATGGTCCATTATTGTACCTGCTGCAGTAAATGAGAGAGTAGAGCAGTGCAATGCAGTCTGGGAAAACCAGCCTGGTTGAATAAAGGTTTTTAAATTCGTCATCATTACATTGATTAAATTTCCTTACTGTTCCTACGATTGAGAGTACAAAGGCTGAAGTGCAATCGGAGTAGAAACCCGGCTTAACCTGCACATGTAACATTTATATTTTTAGCATCTTGCACAATGAAAATGTTTTGCATTGTTGTTGTTGTTTTATGTATGTAAAGGAATCATTTTTGTGTTTTGTGTACATTTGTTTTTACGTTTGTGGCCCCTGACTGCCAATCAAGTTTCCCATCTGAGATGTTAAACTGAACTGAACTGGGGACTAACCATTGTAAACACTACACATGTGTGGACCCGTGTGTGTCCAGAGCAACAATCATTCACCAGCGTTATCTTTTATTCTGGACTGCACCGTCAATCTAGAAGATGTTTGAGAGCCAGAGGACAATGTGGCTGATGAGTGAGGTTGTGAGGGGTTCCTATTGTAGTAGATTACATTGTGTTGTGCTTCTAATATCTGTTCCCATTATCTATGTATATTAGGCCGGAAGCTTCTGATACAACCCCACCATAAAAGTCTACAAGAACGTTAAGACTCACTGCAGGCTTTATGTATCCTCTCATGGATTTTATGTAATTAATGTAAACTGCAGCCTATTATCTTATTCAGACACAGCGCCTGCACTCATCTGTTAGACTTGTGAAGATAAACTGAGATAACTAAGGAAGCGAGCGGTATGTGGATGGACAGGACGATGGATCTGCTGACAAACTGGTTGTGGGAGGAATTGGCGGCCTTTGTGCTGCTTTCAGTCTGGATTTATCCTGTATGGTCCAATATGGGAATGTACAGTTTCAGCCTCAGCACCTTGTAAGGGTGGCGATCTGGCCAAAAAAATATCACAGTCTTAATACATTAGCAGCAGCCACCAGACAAATGCTGGTAAAATATGCATCTGCTTCACTCACGAGCCAAAAACACACACAGAAAAACAACGGTAATCTACTGAGTGTGAAGTTTTAAACATTCCTATTCAGCTGAAACACTTCTTTATTTCTGAGTTAGGGTGTAAACTGTGCAACATATTTCCTCTTCTGTGTGAAAGTGAAAATAAAACCCTGTCAGCTACGGTAAAATTAAAGCACCATTAAAACTCAACATTGCATTAAAGCTCCAGTAGGTAACTGTTATAAAAATGACTGTGTCTTATTTGCTGAAGCTTTCACTGACAGCAGTGCATGAGACAGATGATCTGTGGAAAAATCCTCTGGCTCATTCAAGTGCTCCTAATTTTGTCTCCACTGTACCTGAAAGAAAACAATAAATCAGGGCCAAAAAAAGACAGAAAGACACTTTGGGTTGGTGGCTTGAAGATACGGCTCTGATTGGTTGTTTCTGTTCAGCCGTGCCTGAGCCAAGTGAGCCAGTGCTTCACTCACTTCTGAGGGAGGGTACAGACTGTGCAAAACAATGCTGTTTCCTTTTGTGTGTAAAAGTGAAACTGAAAACATAACCCTGTCAACTATGGGAAACTTGAAAGAGTCAAAACAAGCCAATGAAGTTCTCTATTTGCCCCTTTTAAACACAATATATGGTGTTCATATAGTTTCTGTAGT